GGAGAAGCGCTTCATGAGCGTCTTGCAATACTGGTCGATATCAACGCCGGGGATTTGGGGCAAGAGCGGCTTCACCTCCTCTTGCATCATCTCCCACACGAACTTGCGCATCTTTTCATTCTGCATAACTTCGTGGACGTATTTGAAGCCTGCTAATTGGCCTGGGTAGCCGATAGCGGAGTGACTACCATTGAGCAGACGGAGCTTGTGCATCTCGAATTGCTCGACGTCATGGACATTATTAACAACCTGGGCACCAACCTTCTCGAATGGTGGGCGACCGTCGGAGAACTTGTCCTCGATAACCCATTGCTTAAAGGGCTCAGTGACAACGGGCCATGAGTCATCAATGCCAAAGTTTCCTGACAATGCCTCTTTATCGACAGTTTCTGTTTGAGGTGTGATACGGTCGACCATGGCGTTGGGGAAGGCGCCTTTCTCGGCAATCCACTCCGCAACCTCTGGGTTGCGCAAGCGCGCAAATGACTCTAGCATATGACGTGTGATGGAGCCGTTCTTCTGCATGTTATCGCACGACATGACGGTGAAGGGATTGAGTCCTTGTCTGTGGCGTCGTGCAAGGGCAGCGTAGAGGAAGCCAAAGGTTGTGCGCGGTGCGTTCTCGTTGGCTGCGGTGGCATCGTATTTGATATCGGGGTGTTCGCTTTGCAGCTCATGTGTGTTCTCGTTGTAGTAATAGCCGCTTTCGGTGATGGTGAGCGACACAATATGGGTATCAGGATGGGCCATCTTGGCGATGACGGCTTCGCGGTTGTCAGGGGCATAGAGGTAGGAATTGATGCATCCGACAACGTGGGCGAAGCTTCCCTTGTCAGAGCGCTCCATGACGGTATAGAGGTGATCTTGCTCTCTCAACACATCACGCATAGCAGAATCGAAGGGTTGCAAGCCAACACCGCAAATTGCGTAGTTCTTAACGTCATGTTTCTCCATCAATTGGTCCACGTAGACGGCCAAATGAGCTCTGTGGAAGCCACCGACACCAATATGAACAATTCCCTCTCGAACGGCGCCGGCATTGCGAGAACGGTAGGTTGGGATTTGGATCTTCCCACGGCCTGCCTTCGCAATCAAGTCCAGGTTCTTACTGCTGAGCCGTAGGGCTGTCATTGTGTGTTCAGGGAGAGTGAAAGAAGGGTGAGCTTGAGAAAAAGAAGAAAGGGTTGCAGCTGAATCAAGCAGCTTGCGAGGGTGACCGCTGGTTTTGACCGCTGATCAGCCAGGGCGAATATTACATCATGTGGACTCAAACCGCCACCCCTGAAGGTGCCCACCTTCCTATGACTGCAAAGAGCCATATGGAATAATCCTTTGGCATCTGATTAGTTTGTTTTGGTGGAGATTAACTCAACCAGTCACCGCTCGCAGGTTTGGAAAGTTGTGGTTCTAATAATATAAGCACCCTTGCATCAAAGCTGTCCGCTTCCGGTCTCGGGGGCCGAGAACATTCTTTTCCCGATGCATTGGCCCCTTTCGGCATTTTTGTTATGGTTTCGGGGGGTTTTTTTAAACAAACAAGACGTGGCATGGAGTTTCCGTGTAGGAATAACAAGGTCAGCTGGACAGAAAAATTTAGATGAAGTTGATACATGTTCCCCAATTTTGTGAGATCATAGCTGAAATGGGAAGGCCCCACCCGAGGAAATCCGGTCTGGAGTTGCCTCTTTTTCTCCTTTTTCTTCTGATTTGGAATTGATCAGAATTATAAATTGAATATCAAATACTTTATTTCATAATTGGTAAGATGGCCGAGTTGGTCTAAGGCGCCAGGTTAAGGTATACCTTAACTCTACAACTAGCAATAGTTTCCTGGTCTCGCAAGAGGCGTGGGTTCGAATCCCACTCTTATCATATGTTTTTAATTTTTTTTTCCCTACGTTAGTAATCCTTATTATTAGCCCTGGAGGTCCCTACAGGGGCTATATTATGGAAAAGATGTGTATTGGACCATCTTCACTAGAAGACAGAAGATAGAACCCGCGCTACCATCGGTAAGGGAAAAAAAAAAGTGAAACCCCTGAGTTTTCAGATTTTATTTTATTTTTTTTTTTTTTCATGGCAGATGACCTTGCAAATATTTATAGTCCGCCTGACTTCAAGATCGTATCGACTAAATCACTAGGTGTGTTATTGTGGGGAACTGGGCACATCCTTGAGACTTATTCCACCGGAAGCCAGCCACAAAGAAATATTCCGCATGCATACCCGACCCAAGCTCAAGCGGCAAGTCGTGTCGCGCATCGCCCAGAGCCCCTGGAAACCATCAACAGCAGCATACATCACCCTTGAATTGGTCCTGCATGTCCACGTTTTGTGAATCGGAGCATGTAATAAGCTCGGATAAACACCAGGAGATTCATCGGCGCAATGCTACCGGAGAACGTACGGAGTACGGAATACACCCAATGTTCCCGCGTTTTAAGCCAGATCGCCCATCTTGACACAATACCCCTGAGTGGCACCCCAGAGTATATCGGCTGACCTTAGATCTCGTATTTTGGCTCAGCCACCGAAGCCTGGGCAGATTCGCATGAAACAGCTATATATACTTCTAACCATGAAAATCTCCACTACCCCGTACTTACTAGTTATCATCTCGGGGCAGATCGCTTTAAAGGCGTTGCGCTGGACTTGACCCTAGCTACGGGGCCGGGAGGTCGACGCGGCAAACGCCCACGTGTATATTGTAGATGAGGATTGTGGAGAAGCAACTCCACACTACAATATATATCTTCATGTTAACCGGTAATTAACTTGGCGTTGATTAGCGGCCTCCGACGGTAGTGTTTCTGCTAACTTGCGATGGCTATGCGAGCGGGCAGGCGACTAATTAGGAGTAGAGGCATTACAGTACCCCTCGACTCCGTGTAGAAAGCTCACCTTGGTAGAAAAAAAGAAAGGGGGTGAGGGAGGGGGTGATTCTCATAGATTAAAAACAAACATAAGCATAAGCACCGAAGAAAGGAACTGTGCAGTAAGCCAAAGTGACATACGGATAAATATGTTATGCTCTGTATTCTGACACCGATTTTTTTTTTTTTTTTTTCGGGGCTAGTTCGTTAGTTAGTTATTCGCCGGTCGAGCTGGGGGATATGATAAATGTTTTCGATATCGCTGACTACATGCACGGATATATATAACCTTGGAAAGAATCGTGTTTACACTACGAACAAGATGATCAGAGATGTAACATCACCTACTTACTGTGTGTCATAGATCATAATCTAGGAAGGAAGCCAGAGGATATCCAGAGAATATCCAGAGAAAACTCTGCTGGTTCGTCACTGTACAACATAGGATCAAGTCTGCATTTCAATATTCTTCATCCATGGTTAGATCATGGGTAAGGGTCCTTGGTGAGTGTCGATCACTCTAGACCGAAGATCACCACGCCCTACCCGTAAGACGCACGTGGGGATAGTAGTATCATCGAAATTCTATAAGATGGATATATGTGAGCCGCATCCTAGGCCAAGTGTTTTGCTACGAATAACCGAAAAATACAGCTGAGCCCCCGAAGAACTTGTTCCCATCCAGAGTTTACCCACTGCCTTCGCCATGTCGATATCATCAAGCTTGGCTGTGATGATTTAGAAGCACAATGCCCACTTATTTCCTCAAGTTTAAGGGATCTCCTATGGGTTTCACTTTTTAGACAGAACATCGAGGAATCTTAGATCAGATCTAAGATTCGTATACGGCGTATACCACGAGATAATTCAATATGAGCCACGAATTGGTCGGTTCTTAAGGCCCGTTTTAGGACTCCTGTCGCAGTGATCATTCCAAGATTAGCGCTGGACGCTAGTCATAGTTCGCGAGAACGCCGCCGAGGTAAGACCGAATAGCCCCCGGGAGTCCGTTGTAAAACCAATGTCACAGTGTTGTAGAGCCAAAACCCAAAGTCTAAATGTCAAAGCTGAGCTTCTGCCCGAAGATCTGACGGTTCTATGATACCGCTCTTTCCAATACAAACTTGTAGATTAAATAGTCGGTCCGAGCCGACCAAGTTCAACGACGAAAATCTTCTGCCCCTGCGGGTAGCACAGTTGCCGTTGCTATTCTTAGTTCTTCAATCAATCACCCATACTCCGTACTGAGAATTAAGTCTCCCCCTTCCTCGCTCTCGCAAACCCATTCCGTTGTCAATCCCTGGCTAGGCAAATTTAAAACTTTGTGTTTGCTTTGCCAGACCGGCGAGTGCTTTGAGCCTCATCAAGGTGTTATTAAACCCGCGGAATTCTGACCTGCACCCCACAGTTTGTGCTGGTGCCAAGAGAGGTCCGCGGTGAAGAAGTCGAAGTGCGTGGATGTTCGTGGGATAAGATTGTTGGAGAAGACGGTTGATATCCCAGCACGAAATGTAACTCTTGGCTTTGAATATGTTCGTGCCTCTTGTAGGTATCCGAGGTGACTGTGGAGATAATGGAGTTGCGATATGTACGTCAAAAGAGAGGTGCATTCGTTTGGGCTGACTGTAGAGCGTTGAGGGCGTAAATACGAGAAGTGCGATCATGCACTGTTGGTCGTAACCGTAGTAGAGATACATAAGATGGGCTAGATAAAGCTAGTGTCGATTGATGAAACACGGGGCGACGGATGGGTGGTAATGCGACAGGTAGGTGTCAAATGAAGATGACGGCAGCATGCCAGAAGGCGGAGAAGTTGCACGTTGGAAGAAATGTGTTGTAATAATCACAATTTGGAGGCTGACAGAGCTTCCAAGGCTCATCACCTGTCAAAAGAGGTATTGCATCACAATACTTGAGAGAAAGTTCCGCTATATCACTTTTCTAGATCTTAGCACAGTAAAATCATGTTTCAGTTCCAATTTGCCTATATACAAGCTGCATAATGAACATGTTCTATCCTAGAGGTACCCACAACCAAAGCTCATGACCCATACCTATCCTCATGCAGGATGAAACGTCGATTCTGACTCTCTAACTTCAAGCTTTGATCAAGGGCTAGCGTCCAAATCAAACACTCTCCTTCATCAAGGTTGACGCCCGCTCAGCAACTGCATAAACAGTAGCCTGGATATTGCCACTAGGCTCAAGCGGGAAAATACTTGCATCAACAACCCTCAAATTCTTCGTCCCGTAAACCTTCAGCTCAGAATCAACAACACCCCCATTCTCTCTCGGCAGCATAGCACACGAACCCGCCGGGTGGAAACACGTATACAATCGATCCTTGACAACATCCTTCACATGGTCCAGGTCACTCAAATCGGTTGTATTTTCAGGCATGCGTTTTCCGCTCTTGAGAAGAGCGGAGAACGGCGCAGTCTCGGCAATGCGGCCCACGAATTGAAGCTGCCGGGCCATGATCTCTAGATCGAGCGGGTGCGAAAGTAGATTTGGGTCGTAAGTGGGCTTGTCTTCAATCTTTCCGGAGGAGATGTGGACCGAGCCGCGCGAAAAGGGGTGGTTGTGCAGCACCATGATGGAAATGTAATTCTCCGGGAGAGTTTTGGCCAGAACGTCAGTGAGGGTTGTCTTTCCTGGGTTCATGTGGAGTTGGGCAGGAAGGAAGAGGTAGTGCGAGGAAGGGTCGTCACTTTGGAGGAGCATCTTATGGAGAAGAGAATATTGCGCTTTCAGGTTAGCTGGGGTGTTATCGTCGTCGAGATATTTGGAGATGAGGGTGTCGATTTCTTCTTTTGGCACGGCACCAGTTCCATCCATTAAAGGGAGATAGGCCATGCTGAGGGGCATGCCAGCCAGTGGGCCACCACGTGTCTCCTCGTAGAGCTTGATGAGGGCCTGGACGACGTTTGGGTCGCGTAGAATATCACCGGAGACCTGGCCATCGGCAACCTCGAAGTTGATGCTCGTGATAGCATGGTCTTGGAGGTTCTCGCCTACAGCGGGGTTGTCGACGATTACCGGGATTCCGTGGGCCTGGAGAAGATCTGCACCACCAATGCCCGAGAGCTCGAGTAATTGGGGGGAGTTCAAGCTGCCTGCGCAGAGGACGACTTCTTTCTTTGCGGTGATCTGGTACGAGTCTGCGTTGCCTTGAGACTTGACCTGTACACCTGTGGCAATGACATCTCCGTCTTCTTGTTTGAAGAGAATTCGCTCGACTACTGTCTCTGTAAGAAGTCGCAAGTTTGACCGCGCCGCAACGTCGGGGGAATAGTATGCTGCTGCATACCCTCTTGTTCCCGTCTTGGCATCGACGCTCAATGGGCAAGTAAACGCGCCCAACTTCCGGCCATCGAGGGGATCGGCATCACTTTCCCAGCCTAAATTGGCAAAAGTTTTGTTCCAAGCTTTGTTGAACGGCCCATATACATCAGGTAGAGATACGGGGAGAGGACCAGAAGATCCTTGGTTATCAACTTTCATGTACCGACTTGTGCCGAGTAGTTCCGCTGTGGCCTCGCTGGGTGCGGAATATGTGTGGAATTTACGAAGATAGCGGGCCATATCCTTGGCACCCCAGCCATCATTTCCCAGTGCCTTCCAACCGTCAAAATCTGACACAGTGGGGTACACAACCGCGGAGAAATTCAATGCGGAAGAGCCGCCGACAACGCGACCGCGAGGTTGGCCGATTTGTCGGTTCTTTGCATGAATCTGTTCATATATTAGCTTTAGGTATTTGATGTTTCAAGGGAAACATACCTGAGGAACACTCATGTAATCCCAATCAAAGTCCGGGTTGCCATACATTGTGGCCAAAAATCCAGGGGTATCGATACGAGGGTCACCCATCCGATTGGCGCCAGCTTCAATGAGGAGGACATTGATGGAGGCATCCCGGCTCAGACGATTTGCCAAAACAAGACCGCTGATTCCTGCGCCGATGATAATGTAGTCGTAGTCATCCATTTTGCAATTTTGTTTTAACTAATTGGGGAAGTGACTATAGAAAAATATTTTGAAATCAAGTGTTGACATCGGCAGAGTACCCGGAGGGTATACTTCCGGACTCCCATGCCAATATTAACTTGTTAGCTGTTAGTTAGCTGTTAGCTAACTTGTTAGCTGTCAGATGTTAGCGTAGCTTAGCTCTGTACGGTAATTTTCGGAGGCCGATCATTTCTATTCTTGTTAACTGGGTTGGTTAAAATAGCCGAAATAATGGAGACAATGGAGACAATACGGGAAATGGTCTTCTGCAAGCTTGATTTAGTCCCAACTAGTGTGTTATAGTCCAATGATAGACAATTAATTCGACTGTTTAGGCTTTTTAGAACAAAACGGTCCGTTATAACGGCGCATAACAATTTCCGAGGTCCATAATTAACCCCTGTCAATGTAAAAGCTCGGCCAATTGATAGCGTGAAACAATTAGGTAGTATTACATAGTTGGTTAGCATATGGTTTTCCAAGATTGAAAACTTTCTTCACCTTCTATAGTCTATATCCGATCGAAAATGCAATTGTCGAGAAAATGCAATTGTACAATGTCTTTGCCTTTCCAATTGTGCGTGACCAGCTCATCGCCAACACAATCTTCGTTGCAATTGCCACACTCTTGGTAATATTGCGTGTCGTCTCTCGGCGAATCCGAAAAGCCTACATAGGATGGGACGATGCATGCTGCTTTGCGGGGTTATTGCACACATATGGAATGCTCGCAATGCAATTCCACTATGCTCGTGTCGGGATGAGACACCACATCACCGCGATCCCCCAAGAGAATGCTGTGGTAATCGCCAAAATGCTCATGGTCTACCAAATCGTCTACTACAACGCCATGGTCTTGGCTAAATTCTCTTATCTCGCCTTCTACCTCCGCATCTTTGTGTCACGCGAATTCCGCATTTTGACCTGGATCTGTATGGGATGTGCATGCGCATACTGGACCGGGAGTATGCTCCAGATTTTCCTAATCTGCACACCCTTCGAGAAGAACTGGAACCCAACTCTGCCGGGTCATTGCGCCAGTCAAAATGTGGCGTTTTCGACCATTGGAGCCTTTAACCTGATCACTGATGTGATGATCATGGCATTGCCGATTCGATTTGTCTGGAAATTGCAGATGTCAATCGGGACTAAATTGGCGCTGGTTGGAATCTTTGGATTGGGTATCTTGTGCGTTTTCATCTTTTTTCCCCTTCCAACGGATTCCCTGTCACAAAGTCCTAACGAGTAGTGTAGTATTTCCTCCATCACCATCATCCGTATCCGTGTTCTCACCACAGTTGATTTCACCGATTTGTCTTACTCGATGATCTGGGCTGCCTTCTGGAGTGTCACGGAGCCTGCCCTTGCCATTGCAAATTCCTGCGCGCCCATGCTTCGACCGATTCTGAAGTCCGCGTTCCCGTCCTTGTTCTCTAGTGCTCATGGTGCATACTCGACGCAACCGTCAACGGGTCCTACCCTGAGCAAGAATAGTGCGGCGAAACGGACGCATGGTATGGATGAGATGGATAGTGAGTTTCCGCTCACACAATTGGATCAAACGCCAGGATCGGCAGATGGAGGGTCGTTGAATGATCAATCGCAGGATGGTCGTTCTCACTACACGCCATATCAAACCCCTAGGTCTGTTGTGGGGACTTCTAAGGGGATGTCATGATATTGCATACTATCGCTTTCTTTTTTTTAGAAGGCATCGCTCGCTCTAATAAAAGTACTCTGTTTGCCTTCAGACTCCCCTCTGGTCTTTTAGTCGACTGTGTATTCCCCTCCCAAAAAGATAATACGTGTAGTGATATGTGTGATATCTATACTCGACGAATAGGTATAGAAAATTGACGACAGACGCGGAAGCTTCACGGCCGATGTCTCTCAGTGTGCATTCGATGAAGTTGTCGAGGGCGTCGGATCGTATGATCTGTCATGCAAGTCAGAAATTAGTGGCGTAATACCACGTAGTATTTTCCTAGGGTATTCCTTCAAAGAACAATCACTTATGTCACACTGGTCTTTTAAATGCCACACTTTAGTCATTTTATGCTGATACCATTTGGGAGATGATTACATAGAACGAAATAAAAATAGAAACCCTTCAGAAACATACAGATTCGCTGCCATCGAACTATTAACTCACCGGTGAGTGAGTTATGTACAGTTAATAGTGGGGTGTTGCCCGGGTGAGAGATAGGCGCCGCTTTTATGGTCCACAGGTTTGAATACTGGAGTAGCATATATGTATCTTATGTATTTAGGAGTCTTCTATTCTCCAATATCCTACAAGTTGCCAAACACTGCTATCCCGGACACAACTATATGGACTTGATGACTCAGTAGTGACTCTCAGTGAATTCGAATAACCATTAAACTGCCCCTATTGAAGTGTCATTGCTGCCCGATCAATCACAGAAATGGAGTGAGACAGATCGCCATTTGGGGGTATCCACAAAGGTTGTCTTGACCAAAATCTCCGTCGCCGAAATGGGTTTGTCAAAGATATCAATCTTCTTATGGCCTATACTTGTTCCATTTGAAACAAGCTTGAAAGGTATATCCGCGGCATCGGCATTCGTATTGTCAGCGATCTTTGCATGTACCTGGTATGACCGAATCACTTGGCCATTCGTTTGATCCTCCATCAACACAATGCGGTCAATGTCGGTGGGCTTGTCAAGCTTGATGGTATACTCGCCCTTTTTATTGGATGAGTGCGCAGCATTACCTGCGACAGGCTTGCTATAACACGAGCTGATAAAATCACCTAGTTGCTCGTAAAGGGCTGCGTGCTCCTTTGGAATAGCCCCGCTGCGATCAGGAGAGAGGTCCAACTCGAGCATACAGTTTCGCCCGACAGTCTTATGGTAGACGTCGATCATCTCTTCAATAGGCCTTAACGGTTGATCAACGCCGAAGAACCAGCGACCCTCGGTTTGCAAGGTGGTGTCACACTCGGCGGGACAGAAATATGGGCTCGTGGGATCTCCGCCATCATTCGTCAGACCACTGTAACAGTCAATTTAGTTTTCAATATAACTCAAATAATTGATTTGCGTACGTGGACCAATTTTCCTCGGGGGCTTCCCCAGTTTCGGTTCCGATCCATCGAACTAGAATGAATGTAAGAGCGCTAGTCTACCCCGAGGGAGTCCAAATGAAAATTACCTGGATTAGCCGATACACAAGTCCCTCCCGTGTCACATCCATTGAAAATCACTGCTTGAGGCTGGGTTTCCTTCAAGAGGGTCTCAATCTTATCTTTCTGGGAGCTGCTGTAACCTCCATCAAACCAGATCTGTAAGGGTCGGAATGGCAAAACAATTAGCAATGAGAATCTGCATTGCCAACGGCTCACTCATACCTCAGTCAAGTCCCCATGGCCCTTCCACAATTCACTCAATTGGTTATAGACAATTTGGTCGTATGTACCATTCGTGATATTGACTTGACCTGGAGCCCAAGTGCCGGGGCGAACATCTGAATTCTGCACATTCAGATAATTGTTCACCACAACGCTGTAATAGAACCCATGCCCAAGGTTGTACTTTTTGGCTGAGTCCACAAAGCTCTTGACAATATCCTGACCATGAACCGGCGACTGGGCGATTGTATAGTCGTATGGGACGGTCTTGTTTTCCCGGTCTTGGAAAGTCACTTCACTCGGCCATATGGCAAATCCGCAGTTATGCTTGGCGACAAGGGTGGCATATTTTGCGCCCAGGGAAACAGCTGAGTCCATCCACCCATCGGTATTTATCGAGGTTGGGTCAAACAGGTCTATGTCAGGAACAAGGTCGGGGACCTTGTTACAGCCATCAATGTCGAGATAGGTTGCTATCTCAAAGTGAATGAGAACTCCAATTTCTTTCTCTTGGAAAGCTAATTGCTCCTTTGTTGGGAGTGCAATCTTCGAACCATCGATCGGAGAAATGCGGAACTTGGGCTGGTAGGAGCCGGCCAATGCGCCTGTTGCCGCGCATATGCCGGTCAATATATGGTTGGTGGATCTCATGATCTGACAAGGAATGAGGGACTGTTAGATCCGGTTGATATTCTGTCGAGATCATGGCTGACACTGTCGGCCGCATTATATATGAAGCCCTTGGTGATGCAACATAACAAACATATTCCTACGGTGGTATGAAGAATAGAGGTTAGAGCGGGGAAGAAACCACTTCAAGAGATCAACATCAGTCACGCCATTTGCTTGAATGTTGAAGTTGCACCCTTCGGCCGCATCAGGGGGCTGTTTAGTTGCCAATGGGCAAATAGAGATCGTGTCTTGATTATGCGGAGCTTATCTTTTGAGTGTTTGTTGTTGATCTTTCCCTTCAAAGATTAGCCTGATGGACGTAAATGCATATGCGCAAGAAACAAAAATAAATTCATATGTTACCATTCCCAAAATCTCAATATATCCAATGCGGGGTAACTATATACAAGTTGTAACGTCACACTGGTCAATATTCTAGAGCATGGCTGCCTCTACCGTTTGAGGACAACAATCTATTGCTTGTGGTTAATATAAACTATTTGGTGGCGACCGTCGGTGTCCTACTACCGTCTGATCTTACGTCTTTTGCGAACGCCTCTCGACTTTTCACTATTTGATCAGCGATGTACGATGTAACCATTCATTTCTATATATTTTGGCCATATTGCAGTTCGAAAATGTAGCCCCAGCCCTGCCTAACAGCCTGCGATGGAATTGGCTGACTCCCCGGCTCTTACGCCTATTAGTGTCTTCGGCCGTTTATGGTTAAAATTGATATAACAACAATTACAAGCTCTTGGCAGCTTAACGAAGACGACGATGCTATAACAAACATAAATTAAAAAAATACAGTACATAGACAAATGTGCACATCCGGATATCCATTCCAAAGCCTATTACTCACTGCGTCATAATTAATAACACAACTCATATGCCCACCAGCTCAACGCCGCTCGGAAGTTGCCATCTCTTCAGCTGCAATGTCTTTCAATGATATTCTTCCTCCGGCTACACGGAGATACAAATATGAGGGGTACGATCAATGTCTTGCGATTATGGAACAAGAGTCCGAGAGATTGGAACGTGAGGAAGATGCGCTCGGATGCGCATATAACCCCTATTTCATTATGGATATTGACGAACGCTCCTTCCTTGAGTGTTTTGTAAATTCGGGAGAAAATCTATTGACACTGTCGTGGGAAATCTACGATTATGTCTCTCAATCTGCTCTACTGAAAATGGAGTCTTCAACCCACGCCGTCACCATTGGCGCGTTCAACACCATCTTCTCTGCCTGGGCTAGAAGAGTGGATTATCCCCTTCTTGACCCTACAACTACGGGAAACGTCCGCGGCGAGACCCGAATCAAGAAAGCCGATATCTCTTGGAGCCCACAAAATATGCCCTGCCGATCGGCTAAGTGGCCAACTTTCGTTGGCGAGGTTGCGTGGTCGGAGCGTCGCTCCAAACTTCAAGAAGATATGAAGTTCTGGTTGGATAATTCAGGTAGTTCCGTCAATGCCGCTATCACCATCAGTCTGTCACGCAGTAAAATAATGGTGGAGAGCTGGGAAAGGTCCGACGGCAGCCCTCCATCACCCAACCAGAAGATTGAAATTCTGCGACAACCCCGGCCCGGTCGCCCTAAGGTCAATGGCCATCTACAAATAAAATTTTCGGATGTGTTCCTACGAGAGAAGAGGAACGGGGAGATCGATTTCATTCTGACGGAAAGAGATATGAACGAGCTTGCACGTCACATCTGGGGTCAAGACAATCGCACAACTCGCAAGAAACAGATCGGCAGGACCTGATGAAGAAAAAGGGAGTTTTTCATACAATCCGAATTTATGCACTATATTTCAAGATGGTTTTTAGGACTTAGCTTCTCATTTAATGCCAATGAACTATTCAGTGAGAATCATCTATTAGTAAAAAAGTATTTGCTGGACTGTAAAACTTATACTAAGCATTGATGCGGCCCTGTGATGTCTTTCCAGTGGTATTTCAAGTGGTCTTCTAAGATATCATTCTGTGTAGATGCCTTGTCAAGCTTATAGGTCGACTAGTCGCCAGCAAGAAAGGCGGAAAAATTCTTTTGTGCAACGGACTTTTCTGGAGTATAACCTTTGAACCTTTGACTAGGAAAGGTTGCATCTTTATCGGATGAAATCCTCCCAAAGGCTGCGAAGAATATTTAGATATCTCATGCACTCCCTGCAACGGCCGTGACATTACATCGTTGATGCTGTACGGATCACTTAGTAAGAGGAATTCGAAACAAGGTTTTGATTCACACACCGACATAAAAATAGAGCATATCAAGCTTGCAGCAGCGGCCACATATACGCAGATAAAGCTTTTACCCAAAAGTTAGCATGCCATCCATTACAAACCGAACACAATCCAAACTTACATATTGTGCCATGCAGAGACGATAACCACAAGCGCCTGCTCACGCAGATTCTCAGACAGTGATACAAGCAGCTTGCTGCTAGTCCCAGAGACAATCTGCCTGACCTGAGATTCGGGGTAATCAGGGAGTAGGGCGAATAGGCCATTAGATGCAACATTGACGAACACAGCGCCGCTAATAGATAAGCCGAAAGTAAGACCGCTTAGTTGAGCTGTAAAATTTGTGTTAACTTGTAATTTGATAGAGCAGAGAAGAAACGAACCGAGTAACATGAGGGTCAGCCCATTAGATGCTTCGCCTGGTTCCACAACAGCTTGGATGACTGCGAAAGCTGCCTGCGTGTACGCACCAGCCCCAAGACCTAGCACAATTTGGAGGCCATACATAACACCTGATGGGGTGTCGATATTGACAATGGTAGCTGTAGATGCGGGTGTAAGCATGTGATTAAAGAAAGCGAGTACCCTGCAGATGACTTACACATCAGAACAGCTGGGATGATGGCAATTATGCTGCCTCCTAGATACCAAGGTTTATAATAGCCGAAATGAGACATCATAGCCCCGCTAGTTGGGATAGTGGCGATTAGCAGGAATATAAACGGGAGTAGACGGACGGCGGATTTGATCGCGTTGTCTCCTTGTGTGAACTGAAAATAGATAGGGATATAATAGACACTAATGTAGGACACAGCACCGACTGCCGCACAGGAGATAAAAAGCAGGACTGGCTCCCTTTGGACAAAAAGGTGGATTGGTAAAATGCGTGTCTCAACTGAGGTGGCGAAGTTGAAGCCCTGTTGTAAGCCGAATATAATCCAGAGAACACCGGAGACAACAAATAACGCAATAATCTGCCCACTATTCCATGGATAAAGTGTTCCACCGAAATTGATGGCCATGACCAAAGTCGTAAATGACCCAATGCTGAGTATGGTGCCCACCCAGTCGAAGGTGGCTAGCTTATCCCACCGCGATACCCCTGGTAGTGCGTCGTTGGATGGAATGACGAAGAAATATGTTGGCAATAAGATAGCACCAAACAGTAGGTTGATGTAGAATGCCCAGCGCCAGGTGTACAGCTCAAAGGCGCCGCCGACAACAGGACCCAGCACAGTCCCTAGACCCCATACCAAGCCACTAGGATATATTTAGTGTATAATAACTCGATCTGACAAAGTATAGACTTACCTCAGGCTTAGATATTTAGGCCGCTCTTGACTAGTGGTGTTCATGGAAATCAGAGCAAGTAGGCCGAAATACATTCCGTTTCCGCCTGCTCCAGCGAAGACCCGGCCGATGATCTCGGCGTCCATCGTTGGCGCTCCACCACATAACGCAGAGGCTGCCATAAACACAACAGTGGACACAATAAACACCCATTTGGCATCAAAGATCGAGTATAGCTTCCCAAACGGAAGTGCCATTGCCGTTCCTCCAATCATGAACCTATGTAGAGCGAAGCTTGTCAGCAGCGATGTTGATGGCATTTGCATCCAACACGTACCCCACTGATAGCCATGGCAAATCTTCGACGGCGTTAAAGTCGTTAACGATTTTCTTTTAGAACCGAACAGACAGTGATTAGTATGCAATCCTTGACTTGAGGGGAGAGGGTAATGAGCCTACCGGAGCAATGTTGGCAACAATTGTATTGTCTAGAGAGTAGACAAAGATTGCCGTCAGGGTGCTGAACAGAAAGGTAAACCACTAATGCAGTTAGGCATTCAATTCCTTGATGGTGGGCCTAAAGTGAACAAACAAACCTTTAGGCCGGTGATATGCCGCTTTTCCTGCGATTCTAGTGACAAATCGCTCGGAGCGACCTTTTCAGTGTCCTGGAGGAGTTCTGTGCCTAACGACATAGATACTTTAGACATGATGAATTAAACGGACTGAACCTGGCGGAATACACGTAGGAGGAAACAATACGGCTAATATATTACGATATTGTAGGCATGCTAGCAGTCATTTGTCAACTCGGGGCAACTTCCCCGACAAATGGAACTGAAATGCAAAATGTCCCATTTTAACTGGGCAGAAATGAATCCCGGAGATTAACATTCTACAAAAGTTGCCGACTCTATAACGGAGACTTATAGTTCGGTAGATCTACCCGCCGACCCTGGACGATCCACGACTTATGTACCTGGAAAAGTCTCCGCCTCATTTTTATGATAATAAAAGCACCAAGAAGGTCTCACAATGACTATGTCACAATAAAGGCTCCCTTAAACTGGACTCGTTCCAATCCCATATCAATCGTCCAAAGATGATTACATATATTAGGGTTCCCACAAAAGCTAGCCGGCCTTGAAGAACATATCTCCAGTGAAAATGGACGGACTAAAATGATCCCAGGCCCAATATACGAGCTATCCCTACCTGGGTGTTGGGCAGCATGCGTTCAGTGCAAAAGCCAGAGTTCATGCAAATTCGTGACAAAAGTACCTTTTCTGTAGAACCATCATATAAAAATGGCACTCGGCATCAGATTTTCCATGAAATCATCGTATTACCCAACCGCGATATAGTATAAGCAGGAAATAAATGTAGCTCTAGAATATATGTTATTGAGAACGACTACCCACACACTCCCGCTAAGCTACTTCGGGTATGTCTGAACCAGCCCCCAGGGCCGTCGTAATTATTATGGTATCCTCGTCGTATTCCAAGGTTCTGACACCCTTTATGTGACTTGTGAATGACCATGGACAAGTCTCTTCAGCGTCTATATCCATGGAGTGATGGGACGTTGAAACTGTAGGTTGAGTAGTATTGAATTGTATGAACAATGCGCATCAGCAAGTAAATGTACATTCTAAATCTATCATGGATATGTATGTAATCTGTAAGGATATACCGCAAACACCAAAATGAAAGACAGTCGCCTACGCATTGGATGCACAGGAGAACGGTTTTTGTGCAGCCTGCGCATTCATCCGAATGCTCGTTCCTGTGGCCCAAAGACCCATTCCACACTAATTCGTTAGTATCAAATTGTCGTGGATCACAAAGTAGAAAACTTACAATCAGGCAACAGAGGGCAACAAGAAAGATGTTGAGTACTGTCAGGGCGATTTTTCGTTTGCTTGCAAGGTACTGTCCGCGGTTCATATGCAACCAAAATAGGCCCTCCAGACCGAATGAAAACCAGCTGCAGAATGCTGCCGCGATCATGTTGAGTAGATCGTTAAACACAGGGATGGCGAGTGCGATCAACCACGCGATAACCCACATGACGAAAGTAATCAGCACCCAAGTGCCATAAGAACGGAAAGACCTCTCGCTCATCTTGTGTGTGCCACGGAACAGCCGCACGTAAATGCACTTTGCGCCGACATGGCAAATGACCACTCCAGCAATGACAATAGTACCGATAGAGATGCCAAATGCAACTTTCGAAACGACTTCACTTGCACTCAAAAGGGCGGGGCTGAGGACATTCGGCCCGGCGAATCGGTAGATAACAAGGGCAGTAACGAGATACAGCGATGTGTCCGTTGCCTGGAAGGCAATCAACGCTTTGGGGTAGTCACGTGGATCTTCCAGCTCTGACTGGAAGCTGAAAAATGACATATGGCCGGAATAAGCGAGGACAATGTTAAGAGTAGCGGAGAAGCCGTTCATCAAAGTTGGGTGGGTAATAGCGTATGCTCTGGGATCGGGTGCTTCAATACCAACCGCGATCATGGTGATCATCACAGCGGTGAAGATTGATAGCGAGGCTAATAGTTGTTAGTTTAGTTTCAACAGAAAAGAGAAAAGATTTCTGCCATACAAATAATTCCCAGATACGAAACTTCCTCCATACGCCTTGAGAGGGTCAGGACAAAGCAGAGAATGGTTCCCACCAGAGCGAAAATGATGGTACAGGCACCGTGGTTAGTAAGAGTGTTCATCATGATAGAGAATGTCAAGACATGAGCGCCCATAAGAAAAATAAAACAGATAACCTGCGCGAGTCCAAAGATCTCGCGACCCCAGGCGCCAAATAAGATCTCTGCGGCATCTGACATGTTGTGAATCTGAGGGTGTCGCAATTTGAATTGGCCGACGACATATCCAGTGTAGGTCGTCAAAGCTCCGATCCCAACAATAATGATACAGCCACTGCCAGGATTAGCACGAGTTATAAAAGTTCAGGGAAGTTCTCATCCGACGTACGGAACCAAACCCAAGACTGCCATCGAGGATGGGAGGGAGAGAACTCCCAATGAGACAGACTGAGCAATCATCACTGTTGGCTGTTTAGCTATAGTCCATGATTGACTTTTAATGTAACTGGGATATATTACAAATTGCACAGTTCCTGAACAGAAATATGATTAGCTTCCATGCATTGGCTTGCTGCGAAGTCTGCAACTTACCACCACTTCATACTCCTGTAACGCACCCCACCAACAACTTCGCCAGCAAATGGATCTTGGGACTTCTCTGGATCCATGACTTTCTCCATATCTTTCTCCATATCTTTCTCCATGGTGGTATTGTTAAAGGGTTGGTTGCAAGTTGATGTTGACTCATTACCGACGATGATCTCCCAAGAAATCTCTGACTCCCATGGCCCCACTATTTCCTTGTCTGGGGAAGACAAGGACTAGACAGGCAGAGTGTAGCAATGATTGAAAAATGCAAGTAAAGCTGAGATATTGAGTGTAATATTCGAAATATATGAAACGAGGATGATCTTTTTATGTACTGATTTTTCACGCGTGCAGGTGGAGAGAGGACGGCCTCTACAGGCGTACTTGACCCTGTGCCTGGATAATGTCTTGCATCACATTAAAGGACATCAAAAACCCCAGATTCTTGGATACTTCTTCCCCGCATTATGTGGAGTGTATCTGGAATGGATTAGCTCTAGTTTCTATAAAAAATTTGACGTCTTCGAAGGAGCATGTAACATGAGTTCCTGTTCCGTCCCAGTTCCGGGCCCACTCTCTGTGTCTGAAGCAACCTCTGCGTAGATATAATTGAGCAAGAAGCCTGATACTAAGAATATCGTTCTCTATAAACGCTATATAAACTTAATATCTGACTATATAATTTTAACATTGCTTGTAGTAAGTGCTGCTCAAATAGATTTCAGCTGTAAAATCAATATGCCGATCTCCCCGGAAGCGGATATTTTCTTCCGTATTCCGTCCGGTTTACCCGATCGAAAGAAAAGCTTTTACTTCGAAATCATGTGATATAGTCACATGATGTCTCCCCACCATATCTGGTATCGGAGCTCAGCCACGTGGACGGTGTGGTCGCCTTCGCTGCTTAATGCTAAATTCAAAATGAGTGTTGCTCCACGAATATTTGGAGAGTCAATCATTGCGAAGGGATCTATGATGTGACGACAAGGTATCCCGGGACTTGCCTCAACCAGCAACGCTTCACCAGGGCCGCTTCAAACACTTACGATGACGGTGAGACTATTGGCACTGGACCCATGGCTGGGAGGAGGATTTGAACGAGCCAAGGGATCCTCGCCGTATTCATATTCATATTTTCTTTCCGACAAAGAAAAGAGACAAGGAGCTTTTATTTGGTTGTCGGGCAGTGCCTTCCAACTGGATGGAGTTTTGTCTGAACGCGACCACCTATCCGTAAGACTTTGCTCTTCTTCCCAAAGTACCTCATAGAGCAAAAAGGAAGCCGAGCGTTCAATAAGGGCTGTCACTTTAGCCTACATATTATGTAACTAGTCAGCATAAGAGATAGTTAATATTCATCATGGACGAGATAGCTGTCGGTTTGAAGTTAGTAATTTATTTCACTCAGAAGCTCAAATTAAACCTAGAAGGCCGGAGCATCTGGCGTCGGGGAATTTCCTTCTGGTGTAGTGAACCAACCCGTTTAGCGACAATAAATATCAACAACATTAGATGTGGTAAAAGGTCTGGTTGACTTAACTTAGTTTGATTATCCGCCAAATACCTCGGGCTTATCCATGGAGTCTTCCTACAGACTCTAAGCTATAGTTACGGACTTTGTGTGCTTAGATACGTCCTCCTGACCTCATATCATTAGGCGGTGGATCTCGAGACTCGACTGATCTGCAGGTGCCCGTGGAAATGGGCATTGTTGGCTATTTATATGTCACTGTGGCGTTGTATCACTCGAAATGTGCACGGGCACCAAACCTTGTCAATGTGGCGTGGGTGTCCGGGACCTTGAGAGAATATGGAAGATCTTCACATACATACATAGATATAATGAAGGTTTGTGATTAAATTCAGAAACCAGCTTTGACATAGAGGTTCCGGTTCTGTATAGGGACAGTTAATAATCCCAACCAAAAATCCACTCCGGTTTCACCAGTAGATGGGAACCGCCTGAAATAGCTGAAGGGAGGAAGGATAGCACAACGGTAACTTAATATTTAGATGGTAGTAGTCTTAGATGTGTGACTTACCAGGAACTGACACCCCTGTAGAAGGCAAAACTTCCCTGCAAGAAGAATTACTTTGATATTCATCCATTTACTGATTGTCTAAGTAAACTCCAAACAATAGCACATCATAAGGCAATTAAAGCAAGACTTGTACAGATAGCTATATCTATGAGTGAATTTATTCTCAAAAGGGGAAAGTAGTAAGATAAGCCCAGACCTTGTATACTTGTCCATTCTAATGTATTCTACATTTGTAGACGGAGTAAACGTATACATTGGAAGAAGTCAAAGTCAAATATTCTGTTTTTTGATTGGTAAATGAACTCATCAAATAACCAAAAAGGGCATAGTAGCAATCCTGGCTAGACATATAATGGGCACTTGTCCCTTCTTTTCCTTCTTCCAATCTTCCTTCCTCCAACCATCCTATCCACAACTAACTGCATCTATCAGTATCACCCATCTGCTTTATTCTTATTGTTGCATGATTTGATGATAATAACTGCATTTACTGAGCTTGAAAGGTGAAGAACGTAAGCCATCTTAGCAGAGGGACCAGTCAGAAGTGGCTGCAAAAATACTGAGGTGACGGCCGAGTGGCCGAGTAAAACTTTGAAAACGTCGACGAAGACGTTATGGACACCGAGCGAGTGGGAAACTTGATCACACTCAGCATACAAGTTTGCCATTTTGCTGCAGGTTTTGGGCTTGCAGTGAAACGTGGCTCGCACCGACACGATAGAGAGAGCTAGTGGTCTCGAAAACCATTAGAGACTACGATACCAATCCTAGCTGAGATTCTGCTAGACGCCTGTCTGCAATGAAGCGAGCCTAACTACCAGCGATATTGACTTACGACGACCTCGACTTGCAACGACCCCGACCCGACCTCGACCCCGACCTCAACCACGACCTCGAACCGACCGGTCTTCATGGAAGACCGGGGTCTCCTGGGACAGCGAGCACGTCCCAGGGGATCCAACAGCCGCGAGCTTGGACCTCTACGTGGTGCTGTTGACTAGTAGCCTTTTGGTGAAGCCAACGCAAGCTCAAACCCCTCTCCACTTTACTTTCTCCATGCAATATCATGCTACTTCTGAATAACCAGTTCTTGGAATAAATAGTCAAGATTGAATACCATCCTACCACTCGGATACCCATAGATTAGCCTGGTTATCTAGATGCTGCCCAAAGAATAGAGGTCGAACTTGGCTTAGCCTATATTATCCATTGATATATACTGGTGGGCCAATCCTTGGGTACTAAGGTTATTCTCATGTGATATATGGAGAATCACCCTCCGCCGTCCCCTAGCTTCCCGATGCATCCGATAAAAAGTCGCCACTATTGAAGTTCAATTAATATCAATATACTTGCCAGCTCTGAAGGGACGCTAATGCATGCAGGCGCTAAACACTTTTTTGACGGTAATACTAATACCATTCATTAGTAATAATCAATTTCCAGTATGTAGGATGCTTCTTTTTCTGTATTTAATTAATTGTATTTTCCTCGTAATAGTACTATACTGATTATTGTGGCGTGCATGCATTAGCGTCCCTTCTTGCCCTAGCTGGCATAGTAGCATATTAATTCCAATTGAATTTCATACATGTTTCTCTACAGTCTAAAACAAAGCACATACGACCATAGGGTGTGGAAAACAGGGCTTCCCGTCCGCTCAGCCGTACTTAAGCCACACGCCGGTGAGTTAGTAGTTGGGTGGGTGACCACCAGCGAATCCTCACTGTTGTATGTTTTTTAGTTTGTTTATGGTTCTATTGTTAGTGTTATGTGGTTTAGAGTAACAGCGAGGGAGCCTTTTATGTGACCATAAAAAAATTTGAACATCTCAGGTACTTGCACGCAGCCGAAAAGAACCTATCTACCTATCGATCTAGTATTTATCTAATGAATCACATTGCTCACACGAACACTCCGGTCTAAACCTGCTGCCATCATATCAAAGTGCAAACTCGCACCGTGATACTTTCCCCTTAATATACGTACTCAAAATTCGGGTTTTGTGCATCGGTAAGATCAGCGAAAGCAGTGGCATCAGCCAAAAGCTCAGCCTCGCCTCCTCTCTCCCGCAATTCCTCGCGCATCTTCTCCTTTCGTTTGTTCTCCCAAATAAAGGCAAAGCGGAATACGAAGAAAAGCGCGAGCTCAAGGCAGTTGGCAACTAACAAAGAGCCAATACCCAGGGGGTATGCGGGTGCTTGCTCGGATTTGTAAAAGAAGGGACTAGCGATGTTGCCGACGCATGCTCCAAACCAGATCATACCAGATACGATCATTTTCTTGGATTGCCCACCAGTGTTGGACGTAACGAGGGAAAGAGATATCACAAATGAGGCTTGGTATGATCCGGTGAGATAGCTGGACATTAAAGATCGATTAGTTACTGTTTCTTAAACCGAAGAGTCAGCTAGATAGACTTACAAGCAGATCAGTCGACCGACGTATGCATTTTCGGGGGCAAGCAAGAAACCGAGGGCACCCGCAATCGTCGGGATCATGAACAGTGCGCAGACCAGAGTCCGGCTATTCTTTGGCATGTATTGGTTGGCATATCCTCCGAGCACAATCCAAATTACCACGATCACTCCCTGGGGTATACCGAGAAGTGCCGTATTGAGTGTATCGAACCCAAGACCTTGGATGACCAAAGTGGAGAAATTGGATATTCCGCCGTTTGGGACGTTGGCAAGGAATCCCAAAAGGGTAAATAGCCACGTCTTATAATCGAGAAACGCCTCTTTGACCTGACCCCAGTTAACTTTCCGCCCCTCAATACCGGTCTGATTAGATCGCAATCGCGCAATCATCAAGAGCTTCTCTTCACGATTAAAGCCCCAAAATGTCGCTGGCGAGTTAGGCAACAGCAAATCGATTGCAATTCCCCAGGCAGCACAGACAGCACCGATGATGAGAAACTCATAGCGCCAAGATTGAAGACCACCTTTGATATTACCGATTCCGTAACCTAGAGAATCGAGATCACAGTAAGTATTTGCTATTTAATTCCGCGCAATATTCAATGAAGCATACCGATAAGACCGCCACCAGCAACACCGATGCCATTCCATAGATAGTATGCCGAAATACGCCATGGTTGCTCGGCACGGGTATAGTATGTAGAGACGACGAGCATGAACGCAGGGTCAGCAATAGCCTCAAATGCGCCAGAAATAATTCTGAGTGCCGCAAGCGCCGCGAAGTTCTGCGATGCCGCTTCGCACATGAGAAGCACGCCCCACATGAAGATGTTGAAGGCGAGATACCAAGCCATCCGGCTCCGTTGCATGAGGAGATTAGAAGGGATTGCCCAAAACAGCCATCCAAAGTAGAAAATACTTGACAACCACGAGTATTGTGAACCGGATAAATGGAGGTCATCTTTGATGCCAAAGATCGCTGCGTAGGAAAGTGTCGTCTTGTCGACATACTATTTGAGACAGGTGGTGTTAGCCGTGGCCTAAAAAGAGCGCGCCTGAAGACAGCCAACGTACATAAAAGAAATAGCATATGCCAAGAAGTGGAAGGAGGCGTATGTCAAGCTTTCGTTTCAACCTCTTTTCGGCTTCTTTGTTGATAGACTCATCATTTGGATACCTCTGAATTGCTTCAAGATATAGTTCGTTGTCTTCTCCTTGATTTATTTTGTTTGCTACCGAAACCTTGAGGTTCTCCTCTATGTGTTGGACATCATTTCCACTCTGAGGCTTCAGTGTCTCTGGGAGGGGTTCTTTCTTGTCCCCCATAATGAAATTTCCAGATTCAAGATCGATGCTTCAGTGATGCAATTAGTGGAAGCAGTACCGAAGAAGAATTATTATTTAACAGTAATTGTGCTCTGTATATAGGATAACTCTAGCTTAGAAAGGCGGCAATCGGCAATCAAAATTGGGCACAATCACCATTGGTGGAATAAATTTTGCGGGGATGTCAATCTACTGGGGTAACTCTGCTTCACTATATACACTATAATAAAAAGGACTATGTCTGTATGCAACATAGACTACTTGACAGCTTACATATTTCATGAGTCCACTGTGTTTATGCCGACTATGACAAAGATAGTAAATAATCGTGACGATGAGAGCAGAATAGCGAAAAGAAAATTATCACAGTAGGGTTTCGAGCCGTAGCAAAGTCGGACAATCTCCGATGATTGATGGCAACCGGGGCTACAATATAAAGCAGACGGGGTATCGGCTTGCCATTCCTGGCTCGAAGTCCTCAGGTTAAGTACATATTACTGGTTTATCGGCATGTATACCTTAGTATACGAATGTGGGATTGCTATAGGCGGCCACAACGTGGTGGAGATATCTCGAACTGGTAAGTCTGCGGTTAGAACCTCCGCAGTTTCCAGTTGTAGGCCTGGAGCAGATGTGTGGGGTTGGAAGGAGCGTGGGGGCGGGGATTCGCTTCCCCGGGCGATGTTCATTACCGAAATAATATATAGTACATAGGTAGTGTACGGAGTAATGATTGTCAGGCAACCGCTTCCTGCTACAACATCCCCAACCTTTTCCTTAATTGGCAACAGAGATCGGCATATGAATTTGCCCTTTAGGCGTTTGTGCCGCCAAAATCACATGACCTGATACCCATAGTATTGAGCGGTCAACATGATCCAGATTGTCAGAGGACCTTAACAAGGTCACCGGATTTTCAGATGAGGAGATTGCCTTGTAGTGTGCTCAACTCACATTTTCTTAGCAGAAAGTTAGTAATCTAGCCACCATATGTGCCCCCTGCAGGGCCTTGGGGGTACCTGTCCACTGAACAAGTGCCCGGGGCTGGGACTCGCCAAGGAACTTCTTTAACCCAACACCGGGGGGTTTGGGTTTCTTGGCAAAGACTCGGTAGAGGCTTATTTCCTCCAATCTTTTAAACCAACAGGTGACGATGTTATGTTCAGGTTTAGCTGAGGAGTTGCGTATAGGCCATGTCGTTTGTTGCAGGGCGAAATCTGATACTGGTGATGGACCACTCGATTGCTAATGGCGTTGACAGCTGGGATGAAAAATGTGGTGACTGGTGAGATGTATGTGGCCGATCTTCGTAGATAGCAGATGTTTGGTGGTAAGTAGCATCTCGTGTGACCGTTTCAAAGATATTGAGTTACCGTTCTGAGTGAAAGAAGAAAAAGCGAGAGGCAGGTAGGATTCGGGTTCTTTTGACCCTTGTGATGTGTGGGGTATCAGTTGATCGCTAGTTGAATGGAATATTCACTCGAATCTTAGAAATTGGCAAGGCTTAGCAATATCAAGCTATAAGAGAGGCATAAAAATTAAAGTGAATGTATTTTCGGTATAAATGTGGTCAAATTTCGGTGACATACCGGTGATCATCACGATCGTCAGTTTCTTAAGTCTTATACAACATAGTTTTCTATAGATATTCCAGAAATCACAAGAAATCACAAGAAATCACATGCGATTTAATTTAATTTAATTTCACCCAAATTTCTCGGAAAACCAACCGATTCATCATATTTTCACACGTGCACACTAAATTAGGTCGGCCCATAAATTACCTTCCGATATCTAAACCGCCCACCGAAAGTTGATCCCATCTCCGAGATTTCGCTCTTCACTGTACCTGCACTAATCCTAAACAGCTGTCGTGAATCATGGGGCCTAATCAAAGTTGTGAATCAAATAGACTATGCATAAAAAACGATCTGCAAGCTGAACGACGTGGGCTGCCCTTTGGGCATGATTGGCCCTGGTTTCACTTCGTATCCGAATATGTTATGCTTATGGTACCTGCCCCGAGACATACATATGTATGAGATTATATATATAGAGGTACACCATGGAGGTTTTTTGACACAGACCTGAGATTTCAGATTCTTTGAATCAATTACATTCTGGGATCATGGCTGGGATTTGGTCACTCAAGTTGCTGCCATTTATGGCTGGCTGCGCCTTTGCTGGTGTCCAGTATCCTGAGATTCCGACAGACTTGACTACGCCATTCCAGCAGCGATTGGCAGTCTATGGCCCTGATGGTAAGACCGCTGGATATAGTGAATTTGAATGAGGACTAACTTAATCGTCTCTAGCTGTATCTGTCGGTTGGAACACCTTTGCACAGCTGAAGCAAAGTTGCGTGCATTATGGCTTGTCGGAAAAAAACCTAAACACCAAAGCTTGTTCATCCTCATCGACTACCTACGACCCTTCACGAACGTGGTCGAATGTCGCCATCCTCACCGGCCTGACCCCAGCGACAACCTACTACTATAAGATTGAGTCCACCAACTCGACTGTAGGCCATTTCCTCAGCCCTCGCACACCAGGTGACAAAACTCCCTTCAATATGGATGTGGTCATTGACCTGGGTGTTTACGGCAAAGACGGCTACACAAGCAAAAGCGCCAAAAAGGACACCATTCCAGTCGTTGAGCCAGAACTAAACCACACCACAATTGGTCGCCTCGCAAAAACAGTAGATGACTACGAGCTTATCATCCACCCTGGAGATTTTGCATACGCAGATGACTGGTATCTCAAATTCGCAAACCTGTTCGATGGCAAAGAAGCATATGAGTCCATTATCGAGCAATTCTACGATCAACTTGCACCAATCGCAGGACGAAAACTCTACATGGCCAGCCCAGGAAACCACGAAGCTGTCTGCTCAGAGATTCCATACTTGAACGGCCTCTGCCCCAAAGGCCAAAAGAACTTCACCGAGTTCATGCATCGATATGAGAAAACCATGCCCCAACCTTTTGTTTCCTCATCATCCAACCCGACGGCGCAAAATCTGGCCCGCAAGGCCCGCGACCTTTCGAACCCACCCTTCTGGTATTCCTTCGAATACGGCATGGCCCACGTCGTTATGATCGACACCGAAACAGACTTCCCTAACGCACCAAGTGGTCAAGATGGCTCTGCCAAGCTGAATGGCGGACCCTTTGGCGCTCCCGATCAGCAGATCGAGTTCCTCAAGGCTGATCTCGCTTCCGTCGACCGGTCTGTTACGCCCTGGGTGATTGTGGCCGGACACAGACCGTGGTACTCGACTGGAAGATCGAAGAACATCTGTGGTCCCTGCCAAGAGGCGTTTGAGGGCCTGTTCAACCAGTACGGAGTTGACCTTGGTGTTTTTGGTCATGTGCACAACTCGCAGCGATTTGCGCCTGTTGTTAATGGTGTTGCCGATCCCAACGGTATGAATGACCCCAAGGCGCCCATGTATATTGTTACTGGGGGCGCGGGTAATATTGAGGGTCTGAGCTCTGTTGGCAGTAAGCCTGCCTATACGGAGTTTGCGTATGACGAGGACTATAGCTACAGTACGATAAGGTTTTTGGATGAGCAGCACTTACAGGTTGATTTTGTGAGGTCTTCTACTGGAGAGATCGTGGATTCTAGTACTTTGTTTAAGAAACACGCGACAGATTTTGTCGAGCAGTGATAGAAGATTGGGGGTTAAGAGATATCTCATCTGTATAATCAAATAGTGTGGGTTTCGTTTTCATAATTGGTTAAATGGGATAAATAATATCTACCAGAAAGGATATATGCAACATCTGCTATTAAACCTATCGAGTTTCGAGAGAATGATATTGCTGTGATATCATTCCTGCTGTTTGCTATGCTGTTTACACTGCCCCTGGTGGCATAATGAATACATGACTCGGCTTTCAAGGTTCTTTTCAATATTTTGTAATATTTCTAGCACTAACACAGATACGTTGTGTGGAGGCCTGGTCATGTAAAAAGGAAGAAAAAAACAGCATTATATATTTTTAGAGAAAACAATTTGTGCAGGAAGGACAGAAATAAAAAAATAAAAGACAGAAAGACCGAACCTCCATTAATGCCAACATTTCTCCGATATCCACAAAAGCAATCCCAAAAATAATTTATATACACCTTGGCCCATATATAACCCTATATCCATCATCGCTCTAACTCAAAAAGTTATAAATGTACAACACCTGCGTTAAAAATGTGGCTTTCATCGATGCGACAGGTGACTGTTCCACTCCTTGGGGGGCGTTGTTGAGCCCCCACCAGGTTCTTGGAAGTTCCATGGCTCACTCTGCACGACAGTCTCTGAGACAACAGTAATATCCTTGGAGGTAGGCTCGGACTGAGCTAGGATGTGCTCATCGCTACCCCATGCGGAAGCCTGCATATGTGATGGCGCAGCAGCGTTTGACTTACCCTTCTTGGTATCGCCTTCGCCACGGTTTGTCAAGGTCTGTAAGCCTCGGCTGGAGAGCGCGTATGGCTGTCCTGATGTTTTTCCTCCCGAGGAACTGAAGACGTGGGAGAGACCGATTTTGTTGAAGCCCTTGCGGATAAGTGGTTGGATGATGGGCAGGTTGGAGACAACGATTGAGACGAAAGTTTCGCGGCATGCCCACTGAGAGCCAGATTCAGCTCCGTCGGGACTGGACTGAGTATATGTGTCAGTTATATGGTACCTAATAGGCATGTGTTTCTGTGTGGGTATGTTATGATTACATGGGACTTACCTTCATAATTGTAGCAGCTCGAATAATTCCCGCTAGCATAACAAATGTAGCGCCGGAAAAGAGAACCATAAGTGGAATTTTTCGCTTCAGGTTGAGATTGACGGTCCAGAGGAGGGGGAGTGGGATTGAGAGAAGGTAGAGGTCCGTAACAATGTTGAGTACAACGCAGACAAAAACGTAGACGTGGGATTTAGTTGGCTGACATATATCTATGCAAATATGGTCAGACAGGAACACTATTATATATGGTGGCGGTGTAACTCACTGCCGGGGTCAGGGTTAATCTGCCAAAACGCATGGAAGGGCTGGCATGATAGGAGGAGGGACAACGCTGTTGCAAGGTATGTCACACCTAGAATGATATATCCCAGCCGAACGCGGGTGGGGAGGTGTTGGAGGCCAGTCCTGTAATATACTTAGCGCGTTGGTTCATTATGTCTAAGGCGATATGTGGAGCGCACGTCAATCGAGAATAGAAAATTGCCAAGCTGAATTTAACCAACCATAGGATAGCCACATATAATGACCATCCAATAATCTGGATCTTAGATCCAGCAACACGATTTGCCCACTCAGTCGAATTGGGGTCGAGGCTTGCTCGCTCCTCGGGCGTCATGTAGCTGTTAGTCAGGCCTTGGTATCTGGCACCGACGAGGTACGCCGCAACTGTTTCGAGTGTAAAGCAGACCTGCCAAAGAACAATACGTTAATTGTAGTCTTTTCAATCGTGTTTACAGGACAGGCGAAATAACATACCCCCGCTAATGGCATAAGATAATCATCAAGTTGGAAATTGGCTGGTCCAACAAGCTTCCATCGTACACCGATGCGTATAAGGATTATTACAAGGGCTAAGGACAACAAAGTCCATGCCTCCACGTGACTAGCCATTCTTAGCAGTCCTCGATAGTTAGAAAAGCAGAGGACAAAACGGAAGATCAGGATGGGACCTGGATGGAATTAAAAAGAAAGGCTCCAGCCAGACTGGCCCACTAGGAATGTCCAGAACGTAGAATTCTATGTACATAAATGCCCTAAACTAGTTTGTCAGGCTAACTACATAGTGCAAATAGTAAACCCCTGGAAGATCATCCAAGAAATTTGCATCTGCCCCACCAGATCCACCCCGACCAAGATAGACGGATTACTATAATTGGTGCGGGCAGTGATGATCCGTTTGTCCGACACGGGAGACATGCCCCGGTCACGGCTCAAACCTTGAAACCGTTACAGGGGTGTGGAGCTTATCTTACAAGCCACCTCATCATTGGAGGATTCGCAAACGAGCTGGTTCGGAACGTTGGAGCTTCGAGACTATGCATAAATTACTAAATTAGGAATAGAGTCCCCTCCCCCTATAGCTTGCTAAGGTTTTCCGCTGTTCTCCGTGAAAAATCTCGTATTTATTCTTCATTTCCGCCGAATAATTTCGCTCCTAAATTTGTTTATTGGTGTTTGTATATTTTTGGTGATTTCACTATCCGACATCTGGACCGTTTCACGAAGTCATTACGCATTATGTCTACCTTTGACTTCATCATTGTCGGGAGTGAGTGATCAGATTTCCACCCTAGCTTTGTTGGCTCTTCCCTTTAGACAGGTCTCATCATGGTAAATGGAGAAAATAAACTTGATCAACGAGACCTAATCTTGCAAACGAAACAACCAACATCCATATTCCCTAAATCCAAATCTAGCTAACACGTCCCACAGCTGGCCCCTCCGGTTGCGCCCTCGCCGCTGGTCTCGCAAATTCGACCACAAAGCCCAGCGTTCTCCTACTAGAAGCGGGGGACAAAAACGACGATCGCAACCTTCGCATTGATGGCCAGCGATGGCTCACTTTCCAGGACCAGTCAATGAACTGGGGATTTAAGACCACCCCGCAGACGGACTGCAACAATCGTGAGATCGACTACAGTCGTGGCCGGTGTATGGGCGGGTCAAGCTCCATCAATTTTGGCGTGTACAGTGTCGGTGCGCGCGATGATTACCAGGAGTGGGCGAGAATTGTCGGCGATGAAACTTTTGGGTGGGGCAATGTTCAGCAAAAGTTTAAAGATCTGGAGACGTTCCATGGGGAGATCCCAGAGGGCACAGATAAGAAGTATGTGAATCCGAAGATGGAGAATCATGGAAGTAAGGGCCCGTTGCATGTGGGCTACGCACGAGAGTGGGAGCGGGACTTAACGGACGTCTTGGATGTCTTCGAGGAGGCTGGATTTCCCTTGAATCCGGACCATAACTCGGGTGATCCAATTGGTATGTCGGTGTTGATTAGCTCGGCACATAAGGGATTGCGCTCGACAGCGGGGGATCTGGTCAAGGAGAGACTGGATAATTTGACTATTGTTACTGGGGCTCCTGTGCAGCGTATCCTCCTAGAGGGGAAAAAGACTGTGGGCGTTGTGTCCAACGGGACCGAATGTGAATACCCACCCTATCCCTTCTGCGAGTTACCCATATACTAATATACCTGAACAGACCTCGCCACAAAGGAAGTCATCCTATCCGCCGGCTCATTAAACAACCCCCGCATCCTGATGCACTCAGGCATAGGCCCCGCCGACCAACTCCAACAATACAATATCCCCGTCATTCACGATGTACCCGCCATCGGCCAGGGGCTCCGCGACCATTGCTTTGTGCCGATGGTTAACACCCGGACAGACACTAGCACCGACCGAAAAGCCTTTTACGGTGACAAAGCCGCCATGGATGCCGCGCAGAAACAATGGGAAGAAGACGGGACAGGCCCTTGGTCGAAATTTGCCTGCGAGTTGGGCATCGGCTGGTTCAAGCTGACCGAGCAGCTCACTTCCTCGGCAGAGTTCAAGGCGCTTCCAGCAGACGAACAGAAGTATCTTCTACAGGAGACCGTACCGCACTACGAGATTCTCACCCATTTCCCCGTTCACTGGGTCATTCCGGACTTCCCGCCCGAGGCATTAAGCTACTCCTGTCTGCTCGTCTTCTTGTTTAACGCACAGACTCGTGGAGAAGTCACATTGCAGTCGTCGGATCCTGACTCCCCGCTATCTTTCAACCCTAAGTTCCTGGCCCACCCATTCGACCGCCGACTCGCGATCGAGGCCTTGCGTGACTCGTTCCGCATTGCCAAGCACGAATCCTACACAAAAGACAACGTGGCGGAGCTGGCCATGCCCAAGGGTGAGTCAGACGAGGATTTGCTCGAGTACTGGCGTCAGAATATCTCGTCGAGCTGGCACATGACGGGCACGGTGAAGATGGGCAAGGAGGGCGATGTGGACGCAGTCGTGGATCCGAATTTCAAGTTGAGAGGCATTGAAAATTTGCGTGTGGCAGATATGTCGGTTGTGCCGGTTCTGGTGAACGCACATGTCCAGGCTACTGCGTATGTTACTGGTGCAATTTGCGCGGAGAAGGTGATTGCCCAGTATGGTCTTTAGGCGCCTAGCCTTTAGATTAAAAAGGCATTAATGGGTCAATGCCAATCATACTCCGTACATAGATTAAATCAACATATTTGTCGGCTAAAGGAAAAATAGAAACCAGGTCCTCGGGCAGGTCCAGGGGTGTCCCCGGTAGTTATCGAAGTGGAGAACATTTCTGATGTTTGGGTGCCGGTAAACCTAAAAATTCAAATTAATTTAAACGACAAGCCTATTGTGGTAGATAAAGCGGGGCATAAATACCTCCAGGGATACTAGTGTGACCTGGGGCTTATCCGGCATTACCAATTCGGCAAGTGGTAGGAAGTCCGGAGTACGGAGAACATATATCTACGGGTGGAGTATTAGGAGGTCTGAGAGTTCTAAATCCTTCGGTTATTAGCAGGATTTCGTTAGAACAGCCATTTATTAACGCCCACTGGACCTAATGGTGTGATTATCCTCCCTATAATTAGGCCGTGACAAAATAAATGTGTCGGCCCGAAGAGCCAATCCAGGACCCATCGTGAGGGCTGTCTATGTTGTATGTCGGGCCTATGGATGAAACGTACGTCTTAGCCGAACACTCAGTATGTTGGGCGCTTGGTATAATTCATTAATGCCGCTGATTTATTCCAGTAAAATACCCACTGCTCTAGGCATCTTTATTAAGATAGAGAACTGCAGCATATAGGAAATTTAAGAAAATTGACTCATAGTGGATCCAATACTAGCATCTTTTTCAAGTTTAAGTACTCGCGGTTACGTGAAGTTGGTGTTTAGGTGGTGCTGAACTCTGTATGGTGTTCGCAGTGTTTTCCCTTCTTCTTCCTTTACAACAGGAATAGCAACCGCATAGCTTAAAATGATCGTGGAGTATGTATAATGACATTAAATTCAGCCCGGCAGAGAATGAAAAGATAGAGCCTAAGATGACCAGGGTCCACTGGTATTCACCCACCCTCATCCACCTAGCTACCCTCACCGCATGTAGGTGGCCTACTCATGTTAGATCAATGCTGTAGTTCGGTAGGCGCCTGCCCTCGCACGAACGTCTTGATAAATGTCCGCCATTGGAAATCTTGTCTAAATTACATGCTATAACTATCCTCAAATTACCGAAGGCATCGATTGTTGTCAGCTCAAGTACATATTTGAACTGTTTTTCACCCAATTGCCAAAATCGGGTACCATTATGAAACATTATGAAACTTGATACAAACAAATTTCACTTTCGGGATCGTTGATGTGTAAACACTAAGTTGGCATAAATACTATTGACCTAGTGCCTGGAAACGAATCAGTGATCCCTAAATTATTAAGCAACACTAAGATCGCTGTCTCAATGTCGATCGTCGGCCATAGCTCCGATTGGTACAAGATCTTTGAAACTGATTATCCGAACTTCACCATTGTTATCATGGAAAACAAGGTAAAAGCAAGAATAGGTGCCTCCCGGACAGAATGACTCCGAGCCCAACAAAATCATTAAAGCCAATAAATCGCCGTCCTTCAACCCGTGTCGGATAACAGTATCCCAAGTCACTGCAAGATGATAATGAAACTGTAGTAACGATGGATAGTCCAAATTTGAGGTCGAATTATAACAGAATATAGTAGTATTTTTCATTGAATTGTTAAAATAAGGTCAAATAAGGTAGGAAATTAATTTTTTAAGGTAAAACAGGGATACGGCGGTAAGACCTCTCAACGAATCAGAACAGAGTAAATGTCATTGCCAGTTCACCTCTCAAATTCAATCTAACTTATTCCTCATCTTTGACAGATACCAAAAAACTATCCACATGGACCCATCTAATTCTCAGAGCTCAAATCAAACCATATATCCATACGACACAAACCACGTTAGTGAACTGCTTAAGCGCAAGCGCCGCACCCGCGGCATCAAGTCATGTTTTCCCTGTCGACATAGGAAAGTTCGCTGCGATGGTAATATGCCATGTTCGAGTTGTGTGCAGCGCTCCCACCCAGAGTTATGTTGTTTACCTCCTACCTCGGGGCATGCGCCGCCTGCTTCCGATGGAAAAAGTGGCTCTTTTTCTATGAACAGGGATGGGGATGAAGAAATACAAGGAACTAGCAGTCACAGGTATGGCCCTCTGCTGTTTTGACCTACGCTTTGCGTGCTATTTCTTGTCTTGCTTCGTGGGGTCTTCGACGCCATGAACATACCGAGATAATATCTCGTATGCTTGAGGGCTTCTAAGGTTACAGCTACTAACGTACTCGGCAGTACTTTCAGCGAAGACCAAGCAGTATATCTAAATGAAAATAATAAATATCCCCCGGGTATTGATCTCATTCTCAGCCGGCTTGACAAGATGGATAAGCAGATATCTTCACTCAAGGCAGAGCTTCGTCAGACCCGCTCAGATGCTAGGTCGGGCACAATTACCCAAGCCAATTCTGCATCTCCTGCAGAATCGCCATTTATGAGGAAAGGCTTTACACTTGCCAAATCTCCCGGGAAGCACTTTGTCGAAGATGCTACTGGCGCTACTATCTTCCTCGGCAGCCATTCTGATCCACCAGTCGCCCTGGGGTGCCGACAAGCCGGGAGTGATCCGATGATCAACGATGCAATGCTCTCCGATCAGCTTGTTCCACGGACGTACCCATTTACGAATTTGTGGAAGCAAGAGCCTGGAGCTAGCGAGATATGTGAAACTTTGCCCGACGAGTCGGATATTATCCGGTATGTATCACGAATATTTCATTCATTGGCATCATAACGTAACTACTGAAACACTTGCTTGAATTATTGTACTGATTGAATGGTCTCAGATATTGGCAAGTCTATCAAACCAGCGTACACCCCTTTTACCCAGCGCTAGTGACCTACGAGCAATTCAATATCTCGCTTTTTACGTTCATGAACAAGCGCACAGGGATGCTGCTGGAAAATGAGACCATGAGATTAGATGACGTGGATTCCTCATGGCTTGCACTGCTGTTTGCTGTGCTTGCCTGTGGAGTGCAGTTCTCGAATGACGCCATCAAGGAGCGGGATCTACGCTGCAAGGTGTTCAGTAAGTCCAATCGGAACCCTCTTTCTTTCATGTTTAGATCTAATTGTGCCAGTCTGCTCATCTTTCCAATGCCTCCGAGCCTCAAATTTCTTTAACAACACCAATATGAACCAGATCCAGGCCAAGGCATTGATTGGAAATTGCCTGCGAAACAACCTCGATACTAACAGTGCCTGGATTTTGATGGGTATGTACCCCACTTTAGCTATAGATAAGTGTTAGGACTAACTAGTCATAGGATCGACGATACGTCTTGCGCAGAGTATTGGACTACACGAAGAGACAGCTTCAGACACACAAAGTTCCACCCTTGAACAATTTCAGCGAAAACGCCTATGGTACGTGCTGAACATCTAGCAACATCACACAACCTATTAACTAAAAAATCTAGGTGGATGCTGTTATGGCAAGATACTTTTCTCTCCTTCACATACGACCGCCCACCAAACATAAACAAGCTGAGCAGCAGCATCCCCCATGACCCAGACGCAGGCCCGGGATTGTCCTTCGCAGAATGCGTCTGCGCCATATGCCAAATCCTCCTCGAACGCGCACGACAAGACAGCACCGAAACACTCTCCGAAACAATATCCTCCAAAATCAGGATGGCAGCTATATTCGAAGATGCCCTCCCATTCCTTCGTGATAAATCGCATTGTCGTAGTCTGCAAGATCACCTCGAGCGTCTAGCCCTGAATATCCACATCTGCTACGCAATCTGCCGTCTCTGTCGGCTGATCCTGGATTCTTCATCCAGTGAAGCTCATAGCCCATCTATGGATATCGATTCCATCAAGATGGAATGTATTGACTGTGCTGCTCAGGCCGTTGAGAGCTTCTTGGATATGCACCGTCTTGCAGCGACTGTGTGTCGCTCGTGGGCATTTGTTCATAATGCCGTTAGTTGTGCGCTCACACTTCAAAGTTTGGTCGCTTCTGGTCCTCAGCATGCGCGTGCTGGTGTGCTTGTCAAGCGGTTAATTGTTGTTTTGGATCGCGAGGAGCAGCAGTCTGTTTGGGAGGATACAGATACTAATGTAAGGTATTTTGGTCCGTATTCTCGGGCTTTAAAGGCTTTGCGGGAGACTAGTGATGGATACGAGGTCTCCCAAGACGGAAGAACATGACGAATACGAGAAATACGATCGAGATTTTTAAGTTTCTTGATTTATAATATAATAATCATTAACTGATTATTAGATGGGTTTGGTTTATTTCCCCATGTATAAATATCACCATCAACCACTCCTCTCTCATAGTACAACTTATTTCCTTAGCACAACTTCTGCAATTTATCAATATGTCTCAACTCCGCTACTATATAATCGACGTCTTCTCATCCATTGCCTACCAAGGGAATCCCCTCGCAGTGGTAGACACCACATCTACCACTCTCACCTCTACCCAGATGAAACTACTAGCAAGGCAATTCAATCTATCGGAAACAACATTCGTTTGTCCTCCAACAGACCCTAAAGCTACCTGGCGCTTGCGATCATTTCTCCCCAATGGAGTAGAGGTTTTCGGAGCTGGTCACAACTCGCTCGGCGCCTGGTGGTGGATTGCACATTCTGGGCTTTTGGGAGAAATCGCACATACAGGTCAGACCTACTTCCAACAACTAGGCGACAATATCCTATCGGTGGATGTATCTCGATCAAAGCTAGGAGATCTGGTTGTCTCGATGCGCCAGGGGGAACCACTGTTTTTGAATCAACATACTAACTATGATTCACTTGCTGCATCTCTTGGGATCAGTGCCGGCGATATTGGACTAAGATACTTGGATACTGCACTCGACCGGGCAATGGTGGTTACCACTTCACCTGCCCGCCATCTCTTGGTTCCGGTTCGAAGCCTTGATGTCCTGGAAAGTATCAGCTTTGCCGACAAAGAGGGTATTTCCAAGGAGCTTGCTAGTACCGAAAGCCTTAACAGTGGAATTTATGTCTTCGCATATGCGGAAACTGAGTCCGAGACAAAGAATCCGAGATTTGAGGCCCGATTTTTCAGTCCGGGGATGTCAATGGAAGACCCGGCTACGGGTTCGGCCGCCGGGCCTTTGGCTGCTTACTTGTGGGCGAACAATGCCCTGACTTCTGTGGATGATGGAGGAGCTCGGATTGAAGTTTTGCAGGGTATACAGACTGGGAGGAGGTGCCTGATGAATTTGAGCATTGAGCCCAATAACAGAGATCCCGTAAGCATCACGATTTCCGGAACTGGTGTGCTGGTGGCAAATGGAAGTATCATGATTCCTAGTTCTGGGCTTTCCTTTTCAGAGGGCCTTTGTTAAGAAGTCAAGAGATATCAAATGTTCAAGGTGTAAATTCTTTCATACATAGTATTACCTGCCATCTAATAGTCTAATGAACAAAGATCAATCCAAATCAACGCCAAACAAATCTAGATGGTAGTGCTACAACACTCTAAGCAGTAGCAGTTCTTTTCTTAGCGCGAACATAGAAGTTCAACGGCCGAATCAACTGGAATTCAGGATCATACTCGACAGCCTCAAGGCCCTCACGAGTGAACTCATAGCGCGAGACAAGCTCAGACAACAAGATCTTAACCTCGAGCAGCGCAAAGTTGAATCCAATGCAGCCACGGGGACCCGTAGCAAAAGGAATGTAAGCGCAACGATGCTTGTTCTTAGTCTCTTCGGTAGTCCAGCGATCGGGATCGAAGCGGAAAGGATCACGCCAGACTTCTGGGTTTGTGTGGATAGAGTATAGGTTGGGGACGATGACGCTGTCGGGAGGTAGGCGGTATCCGCCGGGAAGGACGACCTCAGTTTTTGTCGTGCGGCCAGGCTGGAAGGAGGCGTTGTGCAGACGCTGGGTCTCCTTGACGAAGCAGTCGAGGAAGGTCAGGCTATGGGCAAACTCAGGCGTCCAGTCAACGGGCTTATCGGTGTTGGCGACACCGCGCTCACACAATTCCTCGTAGAGGCGGTCTTGGGCGCCTTCGTAGGTGACGAGGCAATAAAGGAGCCATGACATCAGGGCAGAGGTGGTCGTGAAGCCGGCACCGGTAACGATGAGCATGTTTGCAACAATCAAGCCTTCAGGGAACTTTTGGCCAGATTCGTCGACGGTGTTGAGCAAGTAGTCGACTACGCAAGAGGCTTCAACTGCAGCTTGGTTCATGGGCATTCCGTCGATGCCGGAACCCTTAACTAAATCGATTTTCTCCTGTAGAAGGGAGTAGATTGTACGTTGAACAACCTTGAGACGGGCAGGATCGCCGAAGGGAAGGTGGCGGTACCATTCACCTCGGGAAGTGATCTTCTTATTGAGGGATAGCAGACTGGCGATGTTGGTGACGATTGGGTGCAAAGGGGCGTCAACATCGGTGAAGTGTTCGAAGTCGGTGCCCAGAGAGAACTTTCCGATGGTTTGTGATGCTAGCTTCACCATGTACTGGTAGGCGTTCCAGGACTTGCCACGAGCATCGAGTTCATCAAAGACCGCAAAGGACTTGCGCACGCACTCCTGCATCAACGGGGTATAGTGACGCACCGCTTTGGGACCCATCGCTGGTGGCAAGAACTTGTGAGCCAAACGCCAGTTCTCGGTTTCGGTATCTCCGATGAAGATGGCTGTGTTGTCCTTGACACCCCAGAGAGGGTGGTTCTCATTAATCTTCTTGGTCATGTAGACTGACTCCATTAGAGCGACGGCTGCCACTTCAGGGCTATCAGTCAGGTATGTTGTCTTTCCCATGTTGGTAGTCTTGATAACATGGCCGTACTTGCGGAAGAGTCGGTAGTGGTTGCCCAAGTGGTCCGGGAAGATCTCATAGTAGCTACCCACGAGTGGAAGACCCTCGGGCCCCTGGGGGCTCTGGACTGCCTGGCCATCAACGCGGAGGCCAATAGGTGTAGTTTGTGAGGGTGCAGAAAGTATTGCGTCCACTGACAAGAGTTCTTGTTCATTTTCTCCATGGAAGGTCAGGCCTGATCATGTTAGCACAAGTAGTATATGCAGTGGCTGGGAACGCATACCAAGTGGTGCAGCAACGTGAAAAGCAGCGCCCACAGCACGCTTGACGTCTTCGATCTTCCATTTGGAATCAACAGTTACAGACTTTGCTGTTGATACTTCATCTCCGATCAAGTAAAACACAGGATCGGGATTCGGTGCTAGTGCGACAGGCATGATGGATTTTAGTTAATATTTTCAAGGATGAACCATTTGAACACCACTGTTCTTAAATATCTTCAAGTTCTTATGCCAATATCCGAATTATCCAGTGGAGCATTGGACATCATCTTCCTTAGTATAGCGAGATCGGCATGTAGATCCGAAGTCCAATCTTCGGGCGAAGTTCGCACGAGAATATCGGATATAATGATTGGTATATTTTATGTTTATATAAATGTTTGGTGTGTTGCAAGTGAAAGAATTCAATAATCTCACAAAATGTATACCCTTGAAGAAGTTCAAAGGCATAACAAGCCAGACGATGTCTGGATTATTCTACACAACAAAGTCTACGATGTCACCAAATATCTCGAAGACCACCCTGGTGGCAGTGCCATCTTGATTGAGGTCGCTGGCACTGATGCTACTGAGGCTTTTGAAGAAACTGGTCACTCTGATGAGGCTCGTGAAGAACTAGTGCAATATTATATTGGCGACCTGCCATCAGAGGTATATTTTCCAAACCCCTAATATGAGGCGACAATAATCTAACTTGATCTAGGAACATGCCGAATCAATCGAGGTTTATCGTCCTACCTTTGAGCAAGTTGCGCAAACCGCTGTTGTATCTGTGAAGCCATCGCCAAGTCGTTTTCGTTCATTGGCACTCTCATTGCTCAAACTTGGCATGACTGGCGCTTTGGGAGGCATAGCAGTCACCGGCTACAGCAACGGATGGGGACAATTTGCCCCAGTCTTTAAGAAGGTGTCTAAGAGTGCCTCAGCTGTTTTGCACGACCGCCCCGGCTCCTCTGGCCAGTTCTGGTCTGGATTCGGAATCGCCAGTGTCGCCCAGCTGTCCCTCACCCTGGGAGTGACTATGTGGATTTCATCCAAGCTGGACGTCCAGCAAGAGTTCACTCACCATTTGCCTCATCGCACATCTCGCCCCGACAGACTCATCTTCCGAAAAAAGGTCTCATCAACCGCCAAGAAGGCTCCCACAAAGATTCTGCCCACAAACCCCCCTCTCGACCCGCGCCAGTTTAAGAGCTTCCCCCTCACCCACAAAGAAGTCGTCTCCCCCAACGTGTACCGATTTATCTTCGGCCTCCCCAACACAGATGATGTCCTCGGTCTCCCCACAGGCCAGCACATTGCCCTGCGCGCCACCATCAACGGGAAAAGCGTCTCCCGTTCTTACACACCCGTCTCCAACAACACCGATCTGGGCCGTATCGAGCTCCTGGTCAAGGTATACCCCCAAGGCCAGATGACCAAGCACCTCGAGCAAATGAACATTGGCGACACTATTGAGATCCGTGGTCCCAAGGGCGCAATGCAATATACCACCTCCTATGCGAACCACATCGGTATGATTGCGGGTGGTACCGGTATTACTCCCATGTACCAGCTTATCCGGGCGATCTGCGACGACAAGGCCGATACTACCAAGATGACCTTGCTGTATGCGAATAACACCGAGGAGGACATTTTGCTGCGCAAGGAGTTGGATGACTTTGCTCGTGAGAATCCGCAGAAGTTCTCCGTGCAGTATGTGCTTTCGCAGGCTAGCGAAGATTGGACTGGTCACCGTGGGTTTGTCTCGCAGGATCTGATCCAGACATACTTAGCACCTGCGGATGAGAACAATAAGATGCTGCTGTGCGGCCCACCGCCTATGATTAATGCGATGAAGAAGACTCTCGCTGGACTGGGTTGGAAGGATCCTAGTGCTGTTTCTAAGGCTACGGATCAGGTCTTTCTGTTCTAAGGATATTTTGATATCATTGTTGTATGGGTATAAATTGTACAAAAAGTTTGAAGTTGATATAGATATAGATATAGAATATTAGCAACTAGTTACATTTTTAGCCATTCTCTTGTTGATATCTAGTTCTCACTTTGTAGTTCGCTTTCAGGAATCTAGAATACCATTATTATGGCCTAGTAAAAATATTGTAACGTATATCAAGTTCGATGCCTCAAATTGTCTTAAAATGACGTCTCCTAAATGAAACGCCTTGAAGAATCTTTAAGTTCAGGCTTAAAGCTTGTTTAGGATAAACATTCTGCAGGATCCTCCGAACCGTTTCCGGGATGATTCCGTTATGAATCCGAGCCGAAAGAGCATTCCGAACTCCCTCCGATATAGATAGATCCCAATACTTCACCCCTAGAAGCCTATTGGCCTTGATGATACATCCGTGATATCCGCGTCTTTCTTTTTTTGGGAACTCATACTCATACTCATAATGCCGGGTTCCGATGGCGGAGCCTTAACATATCCAATAGCCTTGGGGTGGTATATGGGACCCAAGTGCACACAATGGATAGATGAATATCATCGTGAATTCGGATCCTAGGTTGAAAAAAACATATATAGGAAGCTAACTCCACTGATACCCTTGTGATCTTGTCCTAACCAAAGCCCAACGCTTTTCCCGCTCTTCACGTCATATCTACATACTTTTTATACAACAACATCTGCATTGCCACCTCCCCTTTTATCTTACCTACCTACCCTACCTCCAATATGGGTGTTAAGCCCAGAACAGACCGCCCCGTTGCAATCATCGGCGCCGGTATCCTCGGTCGTCGCATTGGCTGCGTGTTCATCGCTGCTGGCTACCATGTCCACATCCGGGATCCCTCGCCGGTGGCTCTCCGCGACGCGGCAGAGTTCATCGATCACCATAAAGCTGAGTTCTCTTTGATGCCGCGCATTCACAAGGCACGCGAAGAAGAGAAGGAGGGAAATGAGAACGACCCCGAAGTCAAGGTCTCCATTTCCCAGGTTGATCTCGAGTCGTCTACTTCCGCGCCCTATGGTAACTGCAAGACATTCACTGCGCTCGAGCCCGCAGTTTCTAATGCTTGGCTGATTATCGAGGCTGTTCCTGAGGTGCTAAAGTTGAAGATTGATACCTTGGCGGATTTGGATAAGTACGCTCCAGCGGATTGTTACATCGGCTCCAACAGCTCCTCTTTCAAATCAAGCTTGATGCTCGCCAAGGTTCCCCCCAAACGTCAGCATAAAATCTTTAATATTCACTTTGCTATGCCCCCTACTATCCGCATGGTCGAGCTGATGACCTGCGGTAAGACTGACCCCGAAATCTTTCCTTATTTGGAGACTGTGTTGGGTGAGTGTGGCATGCTACCAGTGACAGCTCGACGTGAATCTACCGGGTATGTATTCTTCCAAAAACAGAACGAGATATAAGACATCAAACTGACTCGAAAATTGTGTAGGTTCATCTTCAACCGCCTGTGGGCAGCAATCAAGCGCGAAATTATGCAGATTCTCTCTGAAGGTGTCAGCGACCCTAGCGAAATCGACCTGCTCTGGGAACACATGTTCAGGAATGGCCCCCTCCCCTGTCAACTGATGGATCCAGTCGGTCTCGACACCGTCGCCTTCATCGAAGACAACTACATCCAAGAAAGGGGTCTCCCCTCAGGCCCAACGGTCGACTGGCTGCGCAAGGAATACATCGACCAAGGACGCCTCGGAAAGAAGAGCGGAGGTGGCGGCCTCTACCCCCCGCTCGCAAAATCCTCTTCTGCAGAAGAACCCCCAGCAAACCCGCACAGCGCCGCAAAGGACATCTACCTACTAGACGTGGGCCTCGGCGGAAATGCCAAGGATGTCTCACAGGTGCACTCGAACGGCAAAATCCTCCGCCTCAACATCGCAACCCAAAAGATCACCCCAGTGGTGGTCGGCCAGAACCTGCCCGACGGTATTGACTTGTCACTGTCCACACAGCGTATCTTCTGGTCGAATATGGGCCGCAGCACGGCCGCCTGTGACGGCTCTCTCTGGTCGGCGAATTTTGACGGCAGTGATGTGACCTGTGTTATCCCCATTGGACAAGTGCATACACCCAAGCAGATCGCTGTTGTTGAATCGCGGCAGCAGGTTTACTTCTGTGACCGCGAGGGTACTAGCGTGCACCGCTGTGATTTTGATGGTAGCAACCACGTTATCCTAGTGCAGCGCCGTGTGGACCCTGGATCGAGTCAGTTAGATCAGATGAAGCTTTGGTGTGTTGGTATTGCTGTCGATGCGGAGCGCGGTCTGTTGTATTGGACACAAAAGGGGCCTCCCAAGGCTGGTCTTGGTCAGATCTTCTGCGCTAGCCTGGATATCCCTGCCGGTCAGACTGCCGAAAACAGAACTGATATTCGGCGTCTGTGGGACAACCTGCCTGAGCCTATTGATATTGAGTTGGATGCCGAGAGTCAAACTCTGTACTGGACGGATCGTGGTGAGCATCCTTTCGGCTGCACATTGAATCGTGCGTATGTTGGTGGTGAAGAGATGGACATGGTGAAGGTTATTCTGGCCCGTCACTTCCACGAGCCGATTGGTTTGAAGTTGGATAAGGCAAATAAAATTGTATACGTGGCTGACCTGGGTGGTAGCTTGTACTCGGTATCATTGGAGGATGGAGTTAAGACCGAGCTTGCGCGCAATGATGCTTGCTACACTGGCTTGACACTTGTTTAGGGAAATATATAAAACACATTGATATTTGATTTGGAGATCTGGACAACTTGTAACTTATATATTAGCATGCAATAGACAATCTAGTATGAGAGAAAAGAGAGAAAAGAGCCCGGGGCGAGGGGGGGTTTATACCTTCGCCATTCGCACCTTCCCAAAATGCAAACTTCCTTTTCCGCCAGAACTTGAAAGTTAAACTATTCCTCATCCAAGAAACAAAACGCATGGCCGTCTCATTTCACTCTATAGAGATCCTCGTTTCAGTAAGCCCCCCACGCAGCATGGGGTGAAATGAAACTAAGAAAGTAAGAGATCATACGTTGTATCCAAATATATACAACGGTGAAGAAACCTGAAGAAACGTGGCTTTTTATTGAAGCTTATTATGCTTATTATCGGATGTTACCTAGATCCCGTCTTCCCCTTGGAACCCTAACTCCGGCCATCTAAGACAATACAACATAAACATAAAATGTCACCCTTTCTCCCCTTACCCCTCGTTCATTCCAAAACACGCACGGGCTGACGATCCCATTGATCGCGTATTTCCAATTGCACTTTTTCTTCCTAAATACAATCATTCATCCCACACCAAAGGGAAACAAACCTAAAGATGCATCTCCAAACCATCCTTCCCATCCTATCCGCCTTAGGAACATCAGCATCAGCTGCTATTACCTCCAAACCAACTCACCTCTGGGCAACCCACTACAACGGCAATGTCTACTCCTTAACCCTGAAGGACAATGACCTCTCCATATCGCAAACCCTCAACACCTGTGGTGATATGCCAAGCTGGTTAACTCTGGACCCGCGCACACGTACCGTTTACTGCTCCGATGAGAGCGGCACTGCCGATCCTTCCACCCATGGTTCCCTGACGGCACTGCATGTCAAGCCAGACGGCACGCTACGCGAAGGCGCTGTTGCCAAGACTGTCGGTGGAGGTGTGAATAGTGTTATCTATGAGGCCGGTGCGGGGAAGAAGTTCCTTGCAATTGCGCATTAGTATGTTTGCTTTTTTCATTTCTTTCTTACCTACATTCCAAGGGTATTTCTTTGCATTAATTATGATACTAACAATCCAACAGCGAAGGCTCAGCCATCTCAACTTTCGCTCTACCAATCAAACAAGATCAACCAGAACTACAATCCTTCCATTTCAATTTGACCAGGCCAGGCAAAGTCGCTCAGCAGGACTCGCCACACCCCCACGAAGTCTTCCTTGACCCGACCGGCTCGTTCATCGTCAGTCCAGACCTGGGCGCGGATCTGCTGCGCGTGTACGCGATCGAGGACAATGGGTCTGGAAAGCTCTCAGAGTGTCCGAGCGTGAACATTACCTACGGTAGCGGGCCACGACACGGCGTGTTCTGGTCAGATGGTAGCAACCGGGTTGGGGCTGGGTCGACGCAGTCGCGGAAGACGGCGGCTGTTGGCGAGACCATGATGTATCTTGCTAACGAGATCGGGGGTACGATCATGGTGTTTGATGTTTCGTATCCGAGATCTGGGTGTTTGTCTTTCGAGAAGAAGCAAACGATGGTGCCCTACCCTGGCGGTGTCATGCCCAAAGGTGCGACGCCGGCTGGGATTAAGAGGATCGGGGATGACCTTTATGTTTCAATCCGAAGTGATCAAGGGTTCGCCCCAAGTGATTCGATCGTTGCGCTTGATCGGTCGGCGGACGGGTCAGTTGAGTTGCGGGACTCGTCTTCTGCGCTTGGAAAGGTGCCGCGGACTTTTGTGATTAATCGGGCTGGAGATTTGGTTGCTATTGGGAACCAGGCTACTGCGACGGTTGCAATTGTGCGCAGGGATCCGCAGACCGGCAATCTGGGTGAGGAGGTTGCTACTCTACAAGTTGGCGAGCCTGGGAAGGTCGGGACTGCGGAGGGTCTCAGCAGTGTCATCTGGGATGAGTAGATACATATTTGCATGTATATAAATCAAGAATTGGCTATTGTGACGGCCACAGCCCCTTTCTGTAGACAGCGCAGCAGAATGGAATCATTGCAGTACAAGTTCGCATTCGCATCATTTGAACGACCTCAAAAAGCATCAAAAGCATATACCTCATGACGAAAACACTATGTCCACCAAAACCCCAGAATGCGGAATGAAAGAAAATGTAGACCTTGGAATGTTGAAGACCAGCTTCTCCGGGTTTTATCGTCGGAAACCTGCACCGAAAAGACCTGGCCTGATAAAAGCAACTCCTGCAACATCGTCTCGATGATGGATCTTGCCAGATCATAGTAAAAAAACAAGAAAACCCAAAAAGCCGATCGAATGGCGAAGAATAAATAACAATATAAGAATGAACGTGTATCAAACATCAGTCGTAAAATGCGTAAAGCCAAAAACGTAGGCTGTCTTAAGTCGTTCACTTGATGTCGATTTGGAATGCCTTCCATTTGCCTCCCACCGTTCGACATCGGGGACATCCGCGAGGACCAGGGTAACTTGTTGGACCCTGTGACGGGGCATTATTTAATAGCCCATTCCCTGGAGTTCGGAATGAAGCGGGCGGGCTTGAAATGAACATTCCCACGCAGTCGCGGCAGACTCCACAAATGCACTCCGTACAGGCATAGCACTCATTCAGTGCCGAGGGTCGTTTGCAATTAGCGCAAAACACCTGAACCTCTTTGTTGCGGAATGACGACGGAGTAGGATTTGAGAATCTGTGCTGTTGGCGCTGGGAGATGGACGGGATAAGATTCATAACTGGGCTAGAATCGGAGTTTATGGACGGCGCAACGCCCGAAACCGATGAGGCAAAATTTCTGCCGGAAGCTGAAGACATGGAATCGAGCGATGATTCAATAGATGGGAATGGTTCCAAGTCACTCTCACGGCTGCGGTTGTTCTCGTATGGCGGTGGAGTTAATGATTTGTGCAAAGGTGAGGCGGCATATGAATTCTGTGGGAAAGGCCGATGTGAAGAGATAGGAGGTAGTCCTGGTCCTGCGGATTGGAACGCGGGTGGTAGCGACGACCGATTTTTCACCCCAGAGGGAGCAGACGTCACATTGGAAAGCAGTGGGGCGATCGTTGGAGACCGACCAGCCTGCGTTTGGCGCATCAGCACCGGGAAAAAAAAGGTGCAAGATTGAATTGAAACTCACCTCTGAATATTGGTCATCGTCTACTTCGGTTGCCGACGTCGCAGCTTCAATCAAATCCTCCCAGCGCTTGCCTTGCGCCCAGGCCGCGGTTTGCGGCTCTGCTGAAAGAGCCTTGCGGTCAGTGAGACTTGGTCGCCGCCCAAATTCCTTTGACTTGGGACGATCCTGCTTGGGTTTCCGGGCAGATTGGGTAATGGAAGATTTGCGCGGGCGGCAAAATTTGTCTCTCCGCTGGATTGGCGGTAATGTGGATGAGCGACCGGGTGGGGAGTGATTGAGAATGGACGGAAGAAGCTCGCGGGGTCGAGGGGTAAACGGCGGAAGAGATTCCTGTTTAAAATGGTCGCGGAGTGGGGGAAGTTCAATAGCTCCACGCATGCGAGGATGACTCAAGTCGGTATCCGAATGTGTATCCTGGGGAAATGCGGGTCAGTGCCACTGTGGAGAGACTCAGGGCTTGAAGCCCACAACAGCCTGGAGCGACAAACCATGTCTGTATCCCAGTCGGAGGCCAGTCGGTGATGGTGCAGTTGCGCCAGAGCAACCGCTGCAGTAGCTGCGGCTGGGTGGGGTTCATCCAGAGCTCGAGGGGTAGCCGGGGAGCCGTCAGCGACATAGACGTCCCTTTCCGGCGCCACATCTGTGGGTTACCGTCAGTATCCCTATAGCGAGAAAATAAGTCAAGAAAAACAAAAACTAACCCTGAGGTCGCCTAGGTTGAGCGGGTTCGGGAGGTGACAGCTGCACCCGTTGCTCGAGCGGGGTGTTCACCATCATCAGGAAGCTCTCCTCGGTAGCCGGGAGCTTCGGGATGTAGTGGTTCGGATGCGCACGTCGAATGTGCTCCTGCATGGAGCGATAGCGTTTTTCCTAGAGCACCAACCGGATTAGTTCAAGTTAGACTCGAAAGTTGTACGGGGGTTATATAGCTTTCGTAAGGTGATAGGGTGGCTCGGGCAAATACTCACACCCAGGCATCTTTTGCGACAATTGGAATTATCGTTGTTCTTCAAGGGACAGACCACCTCATTATTGGCATCGGTTACCGAGAAAGAGCTGGTCAGTGAGCTTCGAGGAGGCATGGTGCATACGGTCCGAGGTCCCGGGGGTTGAGATAAAAAAAGGAGGGGCGAATAAAGAGATCAGCCAAGCACAGACAGTGTTTATGTGAACAATAGGCAATGCAGTTCAACATGCTCCGATGTAAAAAGAGAAGTGGGAAGAATTGGAAAAAGCACTTGAGGGAAAAAAAGGAAAAGGAAGAGGGCGGCTCATACATTCAGAGTACTTCGAGGCCGTGTGGGTGAAAGTCATTGGGGGGGTATTACGGGTAATTACGCAGTTCGCCTTATTCTATTTTTCCGTCTTTTTGGGGGTTTCTAGATTCTACAGATATGTCTAATAGTAACTCTAGTCAGGAACAGCTTTTCTTTTTTTTTCGTAGCTACCTAGGGAGTAGGAATTTAGTGAGCCTCGCATACGTGGCTATCGTCCCTATCGAGTATCGATAACCAAAAAGAGGGGCGTGCAGCTTTGAGCTTCCCTTGTAAAAAAAATACCCCCATTCTTGGAATCTTCCCTTGAAAATGAAACGGAGAAAAAAAAAAAAAAGCGGGAAAAAAAAGAATACGGTATTGGTATTTAAATACACCCGAATATCACGGCTTTTCGGAAACCCCGGTGGAACACCGAACTCTAGCCATTTTCATCTGTGCATTTTTTTTAAATATTTTTTTTATCTGATGTTGGATATCTGATATCCATAGGTTTCCGACTATTTAAAATTTATACAAATTATATACATATACATAAATAATAATTCGCAGCATTACCGGGAAAAAGGAAGAGAAAAAACGGTCACGATAAAGGCGCTATCAGCGGCCCCTCTTGAAGCTCTCCCCAGCTCCTGAGCTTCATTCCAGAAGGGAGGGAAGCTCCGGGTGGCGAACTAGCGCCACGATACAGTGTAATATTACGTATTATATTCGATTCCACGGTTTCATTTTCTAATTTTCAAGTTGTTCTAATTTTATATGTATGTACTTTGTACTTTGTACTCCATAAGAACATGAGATAAGTAAAGGGACAAAGAAGAGAGCTTCTGAATTTCTATCCCCTACCTCCGCTACATAATTCTAAGTATTATTCACTATACATCTTAATATTGTCCTAGCTCCGGTCTCCTCCGTTTACCCTTATAATCAAGAAAGATTACTTAAATACCTCTAATACGCTGTATAACGAACTGCCGATGAAGAGCATCCCAAAGCAGCCTGATTGGTCCCTAATCTCCACCTCGACACCGAGTCACCAATTACCTCAATTCTCATTGGTGCAACTCGCACGCCATCCCGGTTCTAGGTGGCCGTGCAGGGGGGGGGATCATCAGAAAAAGTCTGAGATTTCCAGTTCGAGGTCTTATGCTGTACAGTGTATGTTGTATGGACTAATAACTGCATTACTACCATATTGATATATTATACAGAGTACTACATAGATAAAGCTCCTATTAGAGTAATGTACACTATTGACCCGTACAAAATGTCAAGCATGTCACGCTCCACTTAATATGACAAGGTGGAGAGCTTGCGAGTCGGGACTTTCTTGTTCTGGATAGCGGCATTGTATCTTATCTGCCTTAGAATTAAATGTAAGGTGCTTTCATGCCGATTATATTTAGAACTCCATACTTGTATCCGATCTCTCGGATCTAATGCAGGACTAAGGCCATTGTACTATGTACCTCGTAATCCTATTTACATCTTTGTTCAGACCGCATTGATCCCTGCAGATTAGCATACCAGCTATGCCTTAGCCATGCAGGGTCTAACATCATAATGGCGAATCAATGTGTCGCCACTAGTGAGGGATGAGAGCTGACCAACCATCACTGTACATTCGTATGTTGTACATCCTGTTCACGTCCCTATCTTGGAACATCCAAAATCCTTGCTGCGGGGTTTGCCTTTCAAGGGATTCAACTTGAACAAACTCGCTCAGCCGCAGAAATGCGGAAATGCAGGACTGCGGAAACCGGATTGGACACCAATAATTTTGATAGAAAACCCTCTCCTGTTAATACCGCTACTCCCATACCTATCCAAGCATAGCCACATCTCACCCCGACCGTACGGAGTAAAACCCCTCGATCAATCCAGTGGAGGCGTAATCATACCAGAACCCCCACCACATCCCATCAAATCTCCATCCTCCCCAGCAAAGAACAACAAAACTGCCTCGGCAGCAGCTTTCGCATCATCATCATCCTCCAGCCCCGGAACACGGGAGCGATAAATCAGCTCCAGATACTCTGCAATAACAGACGCCGACCAACCCGCACGACGCCCAAACTCCTGCGCAAGCTCCCCATTGACAAAAGTATCGAACTCAAAGTGACCCTGGTACGTCAGGACTCGGCCTGGGTTATAAAGACCCTGGATAGCGCACTGCGCACTACTCCCGATGCTAGACCACGGTGCCGGTAGCGAGACTTTCGTCTGGCCCGCGGCAGCTTGAGCCTCGGGCGTCGGTACCACTGCGTCACCATGAATCAGCTGTATGCGGAATGGGTTCTGAGCTGTTGCACGCGCAAGAGGCGGGAAACGCGCGGTGAAGGAGGGCTGGAGGGTGATGGGTTGGATTCCCATTTCGTAGCCGGCAGAGGAGTGTGCGACGTGGAATGTTGATGTTGGCGGGTGGTTTGAGTTTGAGTTAATGCCGAGGAGGGCTTGAGCGATTATCTGGTGGCCGAAACAGGAGCCGAAGAGCTTTACGTTTGGGTAGTGGGTGTGCACTGTTTGGATGTATGATTGCATTGCGTGGATCCAAGGTTGGTCGTCGTATGCCGAGGATGCTGAGCCCGTAATTAGGATTGCGTCTATTGGACTCAGTGGTCCGCCGGCATGAGGCTCGGCTGGGGACTTAGGGTTGGTTCGTAAGGTCTCTAGAGGAGGTAGGGACCCGCCTACGGCATCAAAGGCCGTTACATGGACGGCAAGAGGTCCGGTTTGGAGGATTTCTGGCGTCTTGTTCAAGCGTTGGGCGGCTGCTTGCAGGAGGACACGGAATTGCGAGCTGTATAGACCTCGCGCTCTATATACCGAGAGGCAGGGAATGTCGGCGTCTAACACGGCCACGTGGATCTTGCGTTGGGCCATGGGCTTGTATTCAAATGAATGTAATGCTCCAAATGAAAGAATATGACATGTGAGTCAACGAATATAGAAAATGAAAAACTTTGATGTCAAAGGGCGCTCGCATCCCCACGCCCGATAAGGATTTGAGGTGGGGCATCCCAAAGAGGAAATTGAATCCATGTCTGCAGAAGATTTGAAGTATAGCATCAGGAATGACAGTAAAGGAAACGAAAATCATAAAGTATATAGACTAAAGTGATATTAGGAACGAGAGAAAGAGATATATATATCCAAGGATATAGGGGGATTTCTACAAAGAGACTTGAGTGGTTAAGGATCAAGGAAGCAACAAATCTCAACATGTGCTTTCCCAAACCCTAAGTACAACCCATATTTATGGTAAAACGTAAAGAGAGCTTGAGATTTCTCGCCCGATAATTATTTTCACCTATGGGCTAATAGCTGAGATCTGCCTGGAGCATTTCTTCTTTTGGATCCTAGCAACCCGACCAGCCGGTTCATGCATTGCTGATCGGCTGTCAGAATATCCATGGATGTTGTGCTATAGAATAACCTTAGTTTATCGGCCGAGAATATGACTGGTTGGATGTAAATGTATACGATTGATCTAAAAGATATATGTCCACCAAACATAGTTGGATAGTTACTACACAGGCACCCCTGTACCTCTTATTTCAACATTGATCCATTGTCAGTTACCACTTCAGAGCGAGAAATCATTTATTTTCCTTCATCAATGTACATCCTTATATCTCCAAGCCAAAATACGTGATCCCCCACTGCCATCACAACATTCTACCCCGCAAATTGCGCCATCTCGGCCTTCAACCCCCAATCAGCTTCAATTCTTCAGCTCTCCCGAGGTCATTCCGCTATAGTACAATAATATACTTAAAATTGTCTCTCGTCACGCCATAAAATCCACTACATTGCTCATCTACACTGACACAGAATATAAATAAAAACAAACGGCCCTGAATTGAGCGCTCTGTACATTGTGTTTCCCTCTTTAATAACCATCCAAAATGGCTCCCGCTGCTATCTCCTCTCTCCCAACTGCCCCTCACAACCTCACAGGGCCCATCTCACGGGATCTGTTTCCAGATGGACTAAAAACCACCGGGCAACACCCCCCACTATATGATCATATCGTCCCCTTTGACAAGTTCCCTAAACAAATCACCGGCCCAACAGTATGGAAGGCCGAGGACTACCGCGAAAACCCAGAAAAATGGACGCACGTCTTCACCCAGGACCAGATCGATGAGCTGAGCTCAGCATCGGATGCTTTCCTCGCATCGAAGACCCCGCTGACCGGAATCTCAAAGGTAAGATAACAATAGAATTCGTATCTAGATGTATAAAACCAAAACTAATCATACCTTCAATAGACCAACTTCCAACTTCCCAATCTAGCCGCTTACCTGAACGCCTTACGCGCAGACCTCATTGACGGCAAGGGGTTTATCCTCTTCAAGGGCTTCCCTGTCCAGAAATGGGGCAACCATAAGTCCGCCGTGGCATACATGGGTCTCGGCACATATCTCGGCTACTTCGTCAGCCAGAACAGCCGTGGCCACGTCCTCGGCCACGTCAAGGATCTCGGCGAGGACTCGACCCAGATTGACAAAGTGCGCATCTATCGGACTAATGCTCGGTGAGTTCAAGTCCCGTTCTCTAGCGAATGCGCAAACACATACCGAGCCTTGAACTGACCCTATCTATGTAGCCAATATTTCCACGCCGACGACTCAGACATCGTTGGCCTCCTCTGCATCGCCAAGGCTCTCGAAGGCGGCGAATCGGACATCGTCTCCTCTCACCACGTTTACAACGCCCTCGCCGTAGAACGCCCAGACGTCCTGAAGACCCTCACCGAACCAATCTGGTACTTTGACCGCAAGGGCGAGACAAGCAAGGGACAGGAAGATTATATCCGCACCAGCGTGGTATACCTCGAACGCGGCGAGAACGCCCGTGTCTACACAAAGTAAGTCCCATCACACCGCATATCCCATTCTTAATCCATTAATCCCTATTTCACACAATACCTAACAATAATATTAGGTGGGACCCATACTATGTCCGTTCCCTCACCCGCTTCAGCGACGCAGGAATCATCCCCCCGCTGTCAGATGCACAACAAGAAGCTTTGCGCGTACTAGAAGAAACATGTGTACGCTTGTCACTACATATGGTACTTGATATCGGTGATATTCAGTTTTTATCAAACGCACATATCCTGCATGCAAGGACCGAATACAAAGATCATGCGCCACCTGCCCCCCGCCGCCATCTTATGCGCCTTTGGCTGGCTACACCTGAGAATGAGGGTGGATGGAAGTTGCCGTTCTGGGATAGTAACGAGAAGAAGAGAGGCGGAATTCAGGTTGATGATCAGGTTCCTGTTGCGCTTTTGGATGCGGAGTGAGGTTTTTGGATTCGGTTGGCTGGGGTTTGGGAGGTTTATAGATTTGATGATACCTTTTTCTTCTTTTTCTTTCTTCTCTAGGCTGTTTAGGATTGTGTAGGTACTTTTTGGTAGGACCTTCCAAGCTTCTGTCAAGATGGGAAGATAGTGAATTCATTCGAATCAGCGTGGTATAACGGTAGTTTCTTGGGAATTTTAGAATACATGGAGAGTAAGAGATAACTTGCATTGATGCCAGCTCTTTATTGAATTCTTTCACCCTGAGGTATCACCGTCAATCCAAATTCAGACATGTAGTTAACCTAGGCTTTGTTTGAATGTATCTAACTCTCTGTACTTCCCTCCATTGACCCCCAAGAGCTGAACAGTGTGCCAATGCTTTTGTTCCCTTATGTTGGTTCAGTGTTTCTATGTAGATGTTACATGTCAAAAAGAGAAACGCAAAGACCCTACGTTTAAATACACTTAATTGTCATTCATAAATCATATTCTTTAAAGTTAAAGGGTATTTTGAACATTTGTTCCAGCAACGCCAAAGAAGAAAAAAAAAGCCCACACTCGACAGACGCCTGGTGCTAATGTACGATCTTGTAATTACCCCCGTTGGCAATCTCTAACTTGCCCTTTGAGACCATACCACTCAAAAATTCGCGCAACTCCTCATTGCTGAAGGGGAAACCACCAGGAACAGCTATCTTTAGCATCATGACAATACGATTCAGAGCCATTGGTCCTTGATTCGTGAGCATTCCCACAATGAACTGCCAATGCACATTCATTTTCTCCATGGCAGCTGCCTCGGCGGATTCTTTTGCAGCTGCGGCAGCCGCTGCTTCAGCCGCTGCAGCTGCGTTGGCCGTGTCGCCAGCTTCGCTGTCGGAGGCATCACTGAAGTCTCCGGCTGCGTGGCCATGTTGTTCCTCATCTTCTGTAGGGAGGATTTCCAACACGCGGAAGGTGTCGCGGTGAATTTCGGTGAGGATGCGCTTGCTGACCCAAAATAGACAGGCGCTGCGTATGAGGGCAGGTGTCATCTCGAGCACGTCGGCGAGTTCCGGGATTGTCTTTGTGGCGGGTTCATTTGAGTCAGACTGGAAGGCATATATTACAGTTGCTTGCCAGGTTGTCACTTCGTCTTTGAAGGTGTGGTTTTCTAACTCCAGCTCGACGGTGACCTGACCCAGGGCATTGCGCCACATGAGCTTGCGCGAATCCTTGCGCCTTTCAAAGCAGGTCGCGTACCGCTCTTGCAGTTTGATGATTTCATCGGGGACCTTGAATTCTTGCTCTTGGAACTCTGGCCAGAAGAAGCGTGATAGAATTTTGGCGTGGAGTTTTCCAACGCCTGCTTGCTTCCTATGTCCAGACAAAATCTGATCATTCCGCACGGTCAGGTCGAGACGTCGCGAGTCGGAGATATCCTTCAGCATCACCTCACATGCCTGTAGTGCCGAATCGCCGAATCGGACCTTCAAGAGTTCTAGTACTGTAATCTCTTGATCGTAGTTCTGGCGTTTTTGGATGAGGCGGTCCGCGAGAAGAGTCTGCATTTCCTTCACGAAGGTCTCCTTTGAGTCGAACAAGCTGACGAGACTGTCAATGACATCTACACTCCTCGACTTTTTATAGTCAGGGGCAGCATCAACTGGATCAGGCAACCAGTACAAATCGTCATAGTCTAGTTCGCTCCTATTGTTTTGCATGGAATGCTGGTGGACCTTATTTAGCTCTGCCGCTAGCTCTGCCAAGGTGTCGCCGGTAGTTGCCGGCGCGTCAGCTGTCGCGGGGTCCGCCAATAGACCACTAACAATCACCTTTACGGTGTCATCGCGGTCTCTCAAGTATCGCCGGATTGGGCGAGCGATTCGATCCAGCAGAACACCCTTGGGATCCAAGATATGGAATGCTCGAATGATCGAGATGTATACCTGCAAAATCTCGACTGTAGAAGCCCCGGGGTGCAACAATCGCTGGAGCAAGTTAATAGAAAAGAAATGCGTCACATACAATCGTGCTCCAGACGAGTTGCTTGTGAAACGTCGCAGGTCCTCTACTGCCCCGCTGCTTGCAGGCCAATCAACAACCACATCAAAGAGCTCGCTGACTCGAAGCTTTCCCAGCCGGGCAATACCCATCACTCGCCACTTTTCTACGTCGCGAAAGCTCACTTCCATCGCCCTGGATTGGGTTCCAGCGGGGTCAGAATGGATGATGGCTAGAACCTCCACAGCGAGCCGTGCGTAGATATTTTCGACCCATTGTTCCAGATGCTGAGGTGCGGTTGAGGGTGACTCCCACTCACCGGCGTACGCGGCACGAACGAAATCTCCCATCATGACGTTCATCACGTGGGCGAAGACCTTCTGGGCCTGGTCACCGCCAAGACCTACAAGCTGCAGGCCCTTGAGAAACGCCAAAAGTCGATCGCGTGCCACGGTCACACGGCCATCTTCGCCCTCGACCATCATGTGGGCTTGGGCTTCGGGTGATTCTTGCCTCCAATCTTTGTACGAGACAGAGTATGCCCGTTCCATCTCCGTTCCATCGAGACTCATTCTGTCCGCATCGA